AAACTTCTCACGTTTGATTCAATTATTAGATTTTTTTAAAACTTAAAAAAATAAAGTCTATAAATTTCACATTACCATATTTTGAAGTAATCCTAAGCTTACGTAGAGGATGTTATTTACTTTCTTAGAAAAGTTTTATCACGGAAAAAAGAAATAAGCATATCTAGCCCTGATCTCTCTCTAACGGACTCTTTTAAAAAATAGCCTTAAAATAGCCATCTTTTCAAGTCAATAACCCTTAAAGTGAAATTTTTAAATGGATAGCCTCCTCAGTTAATGAAACTTTTGTGTTTTCTAAAATGCCCTTTGTAATAAAAAAAACAAAATAATGAAGTAGGAAAAGGCTAAAACACAAAAAAAACAAAAAGAAAGCTCCTCACTCACAGCTCTTCTGGAAAGAAGAGAAAAAAAAAACTCCTCAAAGAAAGCTTCTTGTCACATTGCCCACCAGAGACACCACGCACCACGTCAGGCTACACCCCCGTCAACGTCCATCATCTCCAGCTTCCATCTCCATTCACAGTCCGGGGTTGTTTATGGAAATAAGGGGAGGAAAATTAAGAGTGTTCGAAGCTTGAGAAATCAAGCTCCACTGGTGTCTCGAATCCTGTCTTTTTTTTTTTTATACTTAATTTGCTTTTTAAGTGTTGGGCATTCGTACTTATGTGTTTTATTTAAAAAACCAACAAGATTCATGTTCTTACCTTACCTCTTTTGAGTTGTGGATTGTGCAAACTGTAAGAAACCCATTCTTGGCCATTTCAGACCGTTCTTACCGGTGTGACTGATAAGAAAAATTGAACGCGGTCAAAATGTTCTTATTGGTGTGACCGGTAAGAAAATTACAAACTAGTCAGAACAATCTTTCCAGTAAGAACGATCTGATCGATCAGAATTTTTGTAGAAGAGTATGATACTAACTATAATTTTTTGGATTTTGTACTTCCATTTGTATATTTAGTTTTTGAGATTTTATAATATTGGTATTATTTGTTTTTATAGGAAATGGTTGAAATTGTCATATATATTCGATATGATGGGGAGTGGAAGAAGAAAGTTGATGGATCATATCAATGGTTTTCGAAGAATGAGGAAATAAGGAGCATATTATTATTTAATGATCCGTTGCAAGTGAAGTTCTCTGAGGTTGTTGATAGCATATTTGAAAGGATTCATGTGAGTCGAAGTAGTACAAATTTGAAAATAAGTTACGGCCCCGTTCACTTCGCTGATTCGAGTTTAGAATTCGAGTTGAGATGTGACTTTATGTGAGAGCTTTTTACTGTAGCAAAAAAGTTAGATGTGATTGTTTGTGAGAACTTTTTACTGTAGAAAAACTCGAATTCTAAACTCGAATCAACGAAGTAAACGGGGCCTACATTTCTTGTCATCGTCAACTTCGAGTCCTAAATTCATCTTAGATGATTATGACACCAGCTGTTATCTTTTTGACCGTTGTCATATATCAAAACGTAGAAGCATGCTACATGTGGAGGTAATTGAAAAAGACCAATGCGGTGCAGGAAATGAAAAAGAGGGACATGAAGTTGAAGAAAACGAAGAAAATGATGGAATCATTCGAGACGAGTATTTCGACGTTAACATGGAAGTATCGGACCTTCATGATGCTGGTTCCACACCAAGTCGTGAGGGTGATCGTCACTTAAGGAGCACCCTCGCCGAGAGACATCGGCATCTGCCCCAACTCTGGATCAAGAAATTCTACATCTAGATATGGTTGAGGTGGATAATTGTGAACTGCTAGCTGTCGATGACACTTGTATGTCTTATACCTTTGATGACACTATTGGAATTGCAATCAATCAAGAATTTACGAGCAAGACCGAAACTGTTTATGGCAAAATGTGCAGTCTCAGATTGTGAGTGGGCACTGCAAGCAGCGAGGATCAAACTCATAACGTTTCTCAAAAACTCGGAGCGTTTCTCACTACAAACGTACTGCAACATCCATACTTGTTCTTCTAGTTCTGTTGATAAAAAGAACCGACAAGCGACTTCAGATTTAGTTGCATATATGTTAAGGAAAGAGTTTTCAGGGCAAATTGACACGCCAGCCCCGACTAGAGTGATGAACATGATGAAAAACCATGGTGTTACAATAAGCTACTTCAAAGCATGAAAGGGCAAACATATCGCCGCAAATGATATTAGGGGTGCACCGGAACTCGGCTTTGGTATGCTTCCTAGTTATTTGCACATGCTGAAGGTAATGAATCCCAACACAGTCACACATTTGGTGGTTGACAGAGATCAAAAGTTTAAGTACCTTTCACTGCTTTAGGGGCATCTATTAAGGGTTTCAAGGCAATGAGAAAGGTGATTGCAGTTGATGGGACATTTTTAAAGACCAAATATAAGAGAACATTGATTATATCCATTGCCCATGACGGCAACTACCATCAGTATCCTCTTGCTTGGGCAGTGGTTGACTCGGAGAACGATGAATTGTGGAAATGGTTCATGACAAAACTTGAGGAGCTCATACCCGACGACGAGGAGTTAGTCATAATTTCAAATAGGCATCAATGCAGTCCGCGATGTTTATAAGAAATCACAATATGGATTTTGTGCTACCAGATGTTCTCAAAGTATAGATTGCTACCAGATTGTAGGAGGGTCATTCATTGGTCAACAAGGGCGTTGGGGGGTTCCACATAAGCAACAAAGCCATGCATGTACCGTGCTTGCAACTCCTCTCCTCTGTAGTAGGCACAAGGATGCTTTTTATTTCCTAAAAGTTAACAACTTAGAATTAATGACCAGTGTCGACTTAAGAAAAAAAATTAACGAATATGTGCGATACCAACCTTCGTATCTCCTAGCACTTGCATAATGTGCTCTAACTTTGGTGCCTGTTTTTTCTTATACTTTGTACTCCATCGGCAAAGTCTTGGTACGAGGCCAGTGATATCGTCCCTCCTCTGTGCAAACTCTGGTGACAGGGCCGGGATACACTCGAAAGGTAATAACTGCACAAATAAACAATAAGAATTCATATGTGACAAAACCTGTAAAGCATATTAGATGTAAAATTTATACATTAAACTTTGACTTACCATCAGTGGCAGAATGAACCTAGGACAACCCCACCTTTGCATGCCCTCTTCTTTATCAAAAACATTTGAAGACTTCTTCAACAAGTCTAACTTATCCACATGAGCCAACACATAGTTAAATGAACACCTCCCCCATGGAAACACACGACAAGATTCTAGGTCGTCAACAATTGTTAGGCATTTTTCATCAATGTTCGTTCCATCCTTCTCATTGCTCATTAAGACCAAGCATAAAAAATACAACACCGTCATCTTTAACTTGTCTTCTATGAAGACTGATCTTTCTCTTCGTCCATTCGAATCGACAATCCTCATCCTGTTGCTGGGACCTTCCTCAGGTGTAATCACCATGCTTTGTAACTTTTCTTTCACGTCCTTTATTGTTATCTTTGTGTTCTCCGAAAAAAGCCTATCTAGAAAATCATCATTGCCTAGTGTTTCCCACTCGTCAGGATAAGGCACAATTGAGTCCACTTACCAATGCATGTTCCATTAGGGAGTAGCGGATTGGTATGCCGTTTAGTATGAACCAAATCTCTTTTTTCTTTCCCGTAACAACCTCACGGCATCTCAACATCCACAATGCCATTAGACTCGTGTCAAGATCTTCAGAAACATAAAAAAGATGGCCGAACTGAGAGTCCATAAACCACTGCATCCCATTCGGATGATCGCTTAAGGCATTAGTAATAAGTTTTACTATTTCTGTCAAGACGCACTTTGTTGTTATTTTGCATTTAAAGTTCTTGCACTCCTAAGATAATTTCAATTTAGGTCGCGGGGCGTCGAACGCCTGCAATAATCATGTTATATGTACCAACTGGTCAAAATCTTAAGCATTTTTGCATCTAATTTTTAATGAAAAATTGCGAAAATGAATTAATTAACAACAGAGGCAACATACTTGGGCATGGGCTTGAGTTCCTCAAACTTTGCATTTCTACTCAAGTAACTAAATTTTTCTTAAATTTTAGTGCAAAAGGCAAAAACTTACCAGACTTATTTCCTGACTCCGTGTGTCATTAGCCGGATGCGGTGGAGTCGCACTAATTCCTTCGGAGTTATTTTCTGACTCCGTGTCCGAGGGCTCCGCATATCAGCTAGTTGGCTCGGAGGGGGAGAGGAGGCCGGTGTGCTCCGCTTTGGGGCCATATTAACTTCAACACATACACATTTAGCAACAAAACAAATAAACAAACTGAATACTTTAACATATCAAACACATTTCCAGTATTTGGGTTTTACAATTGTAAGCATTTCAGAAATAATTTCTAATTCTTAGTTCAATTTTCTGATGCAACTATGTTCTACTTAGTCTAATTTAAGTAGGGAGCGGCAGAAGGAGGGAGCGGCAGAGGGATGGAGCGGCAGAGGGACGAGCGGCAAACGGATCGACAGAGGGAGAGGCAGAGACGACGAACGGTACCCGGTTACTAGAGATGCGGCGGACGGCCGGCGATTGAGCGACAGAAGGCGGTAGAGGGAGCGGCAGAGCAAAATGTTGGGGTTTGTGTTTTGGGAAATATTTTCTTCTTGTTGTATATGTGTCGTTTTTTTCAATTTTAAATTAAGGGTAGTTTTGTCATTTTCTTTGAAAACAGAAAGAAAATAAAATACAAGAAATAATTTTTATAAGGGTGTCTATTAATTAAAAAGGTGTGTTATTCACTTAAAAAGTCTTTATTTTATTCATTCGAATTTTATGAGAGTAAAAGAATTTTTAAATTATATTTAATTTTTTAATTATAATAAAAAATTCTTATGTAAAATTACATTTCAAATTAAAAATTTGAATTAGCTGAACTGATCGTACACTAATTGAAGCATAATTTTCTGAAATCCTTGTCGCTCCGAGTCCACCATTATCGTCTCTGTTCCTCAAATCAACGCCATAACTAGGTAATTCTGCTTTTCTTACACGTTTTTAATTCATCATTTGCAGATTTTGTCAAAATTTTCAGGCGGGGATCGTTTACTTTCTTCAATTTTTTTTAACGTTGACGAACTATGGGAATTAGAATTAATGAAAATAAAATGCTAAAATTTATTTGATTTCAACCACAAAAAATAACCCTAGATCGGCCCCCAATTCGACCCTCCTGTGCAATTTCTAGCCACCTGTAAGACGAGCTCCTACATGGTTGGTTTCTGTTTTCTATGTTTGAAATTGGGATTTATTTTGTGGTAGAAAAACCTAGTTGGAGATGTGAGCGTTTCTGTTTTAACGTGCATTTTCCTTTGCTTCTATTCTATGATGGGACGGGATTGATTTCATGGATTTTACAAATCTCAAAATGGGCTTATTTGGGATGTAAATCTTATTAGCTTATTGGTAAAATAATGGTTATTTGGGCTATTATGTGTTTGTTATAATTTGCTTGAAAAATGGTCTTGCCTTGTGAAGATGGTTGTTATAATTGAGACGTTTGAGGAGTGGGAAGTATGAAGATAACAAACAGTCCTATTAGTATTTCATTGAATCTGTTTATTGTTGAAAATTGATGTTGTGACTATGTTCATTAGTTTGTGTGTTTAGCTATTTGTGATTTTTTGTTGATTATTTTACTATTTTTGGAAGATTGATGTCAGTTTTATTACAGATTTTTTTTAAAAAAAAAAATTGAATTGTGTGATTAGTTGGATATTGTTCGAAGTTCATATTCTCGAGATTTTAATTGGTATAATTATGGTGTTGTGGAATGTTTTGTTTTGATGATTTTTTTTTCTTTTTTCTTTTTAATATCAGGCTTGCAAGCAATGTGGCCACAACATTAGACTATCATTTTAGACGTAATTTTTATCTTCGTTTATGACTTATTTTGGATTGTTATTTTTGTCTTCATATTTTGGATTGCAAGCAATGGTATAATCATAGTGCTTAATATGATAAAATTCAGAATCTCCATCAACTCTGTTAATACTTGCTCCAGATTTTAGGTCGTCCAAAGCCTTCTTTTGGGTTCATCTGAGATAATATCATTTGAAACACTATGATTTCAGTGTTAGGCACTTGAGCCAATGACGTTTGGAATGAATTTTGTGTACTTGGATAGGTACTGAAAGGTCGAGAAGGAAAGCTAACATTTTGAGAAGACCTTTTCTCTCCACATAAGCCATTCAAAATAGGAATATCCGAGCATGTGGCCTTATTAGCATGTTAATTTTTTATTTTTTGAAAAGGGTTGAGAAAGAGCACGTACAGCTTAGCTATGAAGTATTTAGCTGTTGATGAGCGATTTGTAGTCCTGTTGATTCTTTGTTTTCTGTTGATGTCTTCTTTTTGAGCATTTACCGCCACCAAGGATTCATTGTCTCTTGCTGATTATGATTCTTTATTGCTTCTGTCTTTATAGAGATTTGTCTTTTATGATTCATCAACTTTTTAAATTGACAAGTTTGCAATGCAGAGAAGATAGCCTACAACGGTATAGAAGGAAAGAGTATAGAGAAGTGATAACAAGAAGAGAAATCAGGAACAATGCCTCCACAGAAGATTGAAACAGGTCACCAAGACACTGCCCATGGTATAGCCATGGATTATTATGGAAAGCGTCTGGCAACAGCTTCATCTGATGCCACCATCAAGATTATCGGTGTTAGCAACAACTCTGGTTCTCAGCATCTTGCTACATTGAGCGGTCACAGAGGTCCTGTTTGGGAGGTAGCTTGGGCACACCCCAAGTTCGGATCAATCCTTGCTTCTTGTTCCTATGATGGCCAAGTTATAATCTGGAAGGAGGGCAACCAAAATGAATGGCAACAAGCACATGTTTTTAATGACCACAAGTCGTCAGTGAACTCCATTGATTGGGCGCCTCATGAACTTGGTCTGTCCTTAGCTTGTGGATCATCTGATGGGAACATCTCGGTTTTTACAGCCAGGGCTGATGGTGGTTGGGACACCACTAGGATAGATCAAGCCCACCCTATCGGAGTAACCTCTGTCTCATGGGCCCCATCTATGGCTCCTGGCGCTCTAGTTGGTTCTGGTTTGACGGATCCCATTCAGAAACTGGCTTCCGGCGGCTGTGATAATACTGTGAAGGTGTGGAAGTCGTATAACGGAACTTGGAAGATGGATTGCTTCCCTGCCCTTCAAATGCACGCCGACTGGGTGAGAGATGTTGCGTGGGCACCCAACTTGGGGCTTCCGAAGTCCACTATTGCGAGTGCTTCGCAGGATGGTACGGTGGTCATATGGACTGTAGCCAAGGAAGGGGATCAGTGGGAGGGCAAGGTTTTGAAGGACTTTAAGACCCCGGTCTGGAGGGTGTCATGGTCACTCACTGGGAACTTATTGGCTGTGGCTGATGGGAATAACAATGTTACATTGTGGAAAGAAGCTATTGATGGTGAGTGGCAAGAGGTGACCACAGTTGACGCATAGGTTTCACATTTTTATGTTTCTGCTACTCTCAACTGATATATTTTTGTCTTCTCATGAATTATCTCTTCCAACGGTTTTCTCGTGGTTTTATTTTGAGTACCTTGTAGTCCTGATGTTTTCAATTTTTTTTTTTTTTTTATCAGTCATGTAGATGATGAGGTTTATACTCAAACTCGAACTTTTTTAGACAAGTCAGAGTTGATTAATTTTTTACTCTGCTTAATCAATTGAGATGGATGATCAAGAGGGACCTGGGCATGTCAGGCACTTGCTAGTTGCTCCATTCAGCATCAATGCTTTTTTTTTTTTATAATAAATCTTACTTGTGCCTCCCCCAACCTCACCACTAGTTGACTATAGGTTTATAACAAAACCAAACTGGATTATAAATTGATTGGGTTTTGATTCTTTTTAATTGGTTTTAACAATCTAGCAAATAAAAAAAAAAAAAGTTTTTAACTGATGTTTGTCAACTTGTTTCCAATCACAAGTAGAACCAAAACATTGCTATGATAAAGTTTTAAACTACTTCTCAATCATAAACATCTATAAATTCAGTTTGTATTATTTTGTGCAGCCTTGTTAGCTCCTCTAAGAATCCACTCATTTCAAGCGTTAAGATAACATTACCAGAAAAAAGTAGTCATATTTATCATTAGAATTCACATTGCTTTACACACATGGGTTACTCATTATTTTGACTATGTTTTCTCATAACATATTTAAATAAAAAAAGTTTTGGCCAGTTAATTCTCTCGTAAAATTAAAATTTAAAATTAAAATAACTAACTTGAATTCATAAACCAATCGGCCAGTTCAAGTCATAGTTTAAGTTGGCTTAGTGTCATAGTTTAAGCCGGCTTAGTTTGGTTGTGCTGTGGATTTTAAAAAAATTACTTTTAGCTGTGCTGAAGGAAGAAAAAACTGTTACGAGAAGCAATTGAGTGTTTGATAAACTGTAATTATAGTAAATGTGTTGGTTTCAAAATCAGTGTAATAGCGTTTGGTAAATTTTGATGTTGAATTGCTGTGGGTATGTAAAATGACCAAAATAGACATGGTATGAAACTTAAATATATATATATATATAATTGTTTTTGGTATTTAGAAATACTTGTTTAACTTTAAAAAAAAAACATAATGCTATGACTTTGAGTTTTTTAACAATAAATTTATAATAATTAATTCTTTTTTTCATTTTTTCATTCACAATATAGTTACAACTAAAAGGAGCATTAGTGAGTAATTAATTTGTTGAACAAAAATGTGCATTCCATATTCAAAAACTGGTAGAGGCATGAAAAGAATTAAGTCGTGTTCATTAAATTTGCCGCAATTTGATCTCGTACTTCATCTATTTTCAGTGATAGTAAAGCTTGATTTTCTTCTACATTGTCCTCTAGTTGATTCTCTTCATAAACGAAAACATATGAATTCTCCTCAACCTTTTGAAAATGTCGATTACGCTTATCATGCTTCCTAATGTAGTTATGGAGCGCCATTGTTGCAATAACTATTTTCACTTGCTTCGTAAATGAATAATTTGGCATGTCTCTCAAAATTTTCTATTTTTTCTTCCAGACACCAAAAGTGCGTTCAATGACACTTCGTCCATACACTAATATTAGTAGAATTATTAGTAAGCAAACAAGAATTTTGAAACCTTTAAACTAAACCAACTTGGGGTTCAAATATGCTCAAATAACAAAATATCCGATAAAATAACAAAAAAGGACAAAAAAAGGCTTCTACCAAAAAGATCCAGGAATAGCCTTACTTTAACTTCTCTTAAAAGCTTGATCGTCAAATGACCAAGTTACATAAAAAAGTTGGGCCTTGATGCCTTGTATGTGGTGTTCAGCTTCCTAGTTGGTGGCCTGACCTTCTAGTACACCAATAAGAACTTATCTTCGAGTTGTTGAATTGTTTTGTACTCTCTCTCTTGCAAAGCTTGGCAGGGACAGTTGCAGTCTTAATAATTTGAATGCATGGGAACCTAACTCTATGGCGAGAAGTCATTTCGTTGTACATCTGCTCCACAGCACCATTTAGAGTGGTGTCACAGAACTCCTTGTACATATTATGGTACCCAGTTCAGCTCTGATAACGGAGCCAAATATCATAATTATCAATTTTGGTGGGGTTCTTCTAAAAAATTTGCAGAAAAATATAATAAATTTGTTGAGAACTTTTATGCCAACAAACGGACTAAGTCAAATGATAATTAATTACAGAATCACAAATAAAGAACAATCAACACACATGATTTTACAATATAAAAAACACATGATTTTGCTTGAATATAAAACTTACTTTCCTGTCTAAATTCTAGAGTCTAGACTCAACAATGAGAATTGAGAACACACTAAAAAATGGCACTATCACTAGCCGAGGACAACATATGATTTTACAAATCAGCTTATAGAACATTTGTTAAGTCCAGCTACAAATGTGAAATAGAATTAGGACTTTAGATCTTAATTTATCCAAGGTCAATACAGGATTTACCAATATCAAACTCTTTCGTCATATTATAGGTTCTGCAGAGTCTAGAACCCAGAGACAACAATATAAAGAGAGATATGCAAGTGGTAAAACAAATGGACCTTAACATAAAGTAGATAAAGGAACACAACAACCATGATTAGAAAGGAACAACTATTTTACCACATAACACAAGAAAAATGAGCAAATAAAAATATCATTTCAAAAATAAAAATGACCTCATTGATAGCAAGAAACTTCAAAAATGCGTTCAACACATCCATGAAACAAATAACCATATCCATGAAACAATTCCAACTAAATAAACATCCCCATTCCAAAAAAAATAGTTCTTGCAAACATATATATCCACACACACACACGTATATACCTACAAACACAAACTTAAGTCCTTTCATTCTTCAAACATACGTAATAGAACACTCCCCAAGTTAAAATGGAATTCATTCTCTCTTCAATTCCAACCAAATAACCATATCCATGAACTATTTTCTTTTACTCAATCCCCTGAAATGTCAACTCTCTCTAAAACAAAAAAAGAAAAAAAAAAAAAAAACTAAGAAGATCAATCACCAACGAAACCCAAAACCTTTAGGTCCAACTCAAATTGATCCACTCTTTCATTTAACATATATCTACTAAGCCACTCTAAACAAGATGATTGAGCAGAAATTTGCACAAATACGAGATTAACCCTAACAAGCACAGCCACGATTTTTCTGCACATTCAATGAAAGATCTAACACAAACAACCAAAAAATTTGAGGACAAATCAGAAGCAAATCTTGAAAAAGTAAGATCAAGGGAGTACTTCGTGGCATCATTATTAAACATTCATTTGATGTACATGTTATAGTTGCAAGTTCACTCATTTATCTCTTTCTCCTAATCTCTCCTTTTTTTTTTCTTCATCGTCCTGCCTTGAACCCAACTTCCCATCCTATTCTACAAGCTCTCTCCGCTATATTCCTTGGTGTAATTGAAGGGATTCTCGGAAGCTTTTATAACTACCTTGTCGATAAGGTCGTCCGAACTTATAATATTGTTAATGAGTATGTTCCATCTCCTATTTAAACTAATTAATAATCCCTAATTTGTAACTTGTATACCGAGCCTATATGTAAATTTCAGTGTCATATTCTGATTATCATTTGACGTCCACTGCAGAAAGGGTGCTGTATCGAAAATCTTGCTGGTTGTGACCGTTGCCATTTTGACATCCTGCTGCTATCACATTTTGCCTGGTTTGGTAAGTGCATCCCTTGCCCTGACGACAGCACGGTTAGCTGCCCTACAACTGATGAGTCTGGTAGGCAACTCCACAATCTTTTCATCTAACTTCTCCTTGATGAAAAATCTATCTACCTCGACGTGCTTTGTACGATTGTGCTGTACAGGATTATGAGCAATGTCACATGCTGTTTTATTGTCGCAAAACAATCGGATTGGTTAACTAGATAGATAACCCAAATCTTGTAAGAGGAGTTGTAGCCATAATGCCTCGCAAAGTCCTAGTCTAAATTCAGCTTCTGCACTTGAGCGAGCGACGACATTCTGTTTTTTACTTCTCTATGTCACAAGTTTTTCATTCATATCAATTCTGTCAATATACAATCAATATATAGAGGAGTATTTCCTACAATTAAGCTATATAATCACCTATAATCATTCACATTTATAGCCATACAATCATACCCAATTATACCCATAATTAAGCTCGATCTTACAGCTAAGACAATTAGACTAAGAAAGGAAAGAATCACAAACAATTCTCTACTAATCTCCTAAAATCTTAACAACTACAAGGCCTTTCAGTGCGCACCAGGCTGTTACAATGACCTCGCCTCTCTATTTTTAAACACGAATGACGACGCAATTCGCAACGTATTCAGTACAAGCACAAGAAAAGAGTTATAAATATCCTCTTCTCTTCATCTTCTTTGCAGTTGTTTACTGCCTTGGAATTATCACTTATGGCATAGCTATTCCCTCGGGCCTTTTCATCCCTGTGATACTAGCTGGAGCTTGTTATGGCCGCCTTGTTGGCAGACTGTTGGAACCATGAGAATGACAGTTTCCTTGTGCGTTATACTTCTCGAACTTACTAATGACTTGTTGTTGCTTCCTCTTGTGATGCTTGTTCTCCTCATTTCGAAGACGGTGGCTGATAACTTCAACCACGGAGGGTATGACCAAATAGTGAAAATAAAGGGTTTTGCCATACATGGAGGCCAATGCCGAGCTTTACATGAGGCATTTGGTTGCAGGTGATGTTGTTTCAGGTCCATTGGTCACATTTGCTGGTGTTTAAAAGGTAGTAAACATAATACACGCTCTACGGACGACGGGGCATAATGGGTTCCCAGTGATTGATGAACCACCTCTATCTGATGCTCCAGAAGTGTGCGGTCTTGTACTGAGGTCTCAATTGCTTGTTCTGCTAAAGGGGAAGAATTTCACTCGGGAGCGAGTTGTCTGGAAAAGAGACGCTGCAGAAAGGTTTCGCAAAGGCGGGGTCGGGAAAAGGACTGAAGTTGGAGGAGGAGATGGAGATGTATGTGGATTTGCATCCTATTACAAACACATCACCATACACGGTGGTTGAGACAATGTCACTTGCTAAAGCCGCGATTTTGTTTCGGCTACTTGGCCTAAGGCACATGTGTGTTGTGCCAAAGAGTCAAGGGGTATGCTAATACTCTCTAACTTTCTTTATCATCAAGCTGAAACTTTATTGTGGTGACATTTCAATGTCGTGTTTTTGCACATTGCAGAGACATCCAATTGTCGGGATTTTGACGCGGCACGACTTCATGCCGGAGCATGTTTTGGGACTCTACCCTCATTTGAATCCTCACAAGTAATTAATACGCCATTTCCCAAAGTGTATTGTTGATGAAGAAGTGTTGGTTATGTCATGACTTTTTGTTGTGAGATTGTACATTTGGTTGCGAGTGAACGGTGTCCGATTTTTGTGAAGAAAAGACGATGCCTTTGTGATGAAGCATTTAAAATGTCATTGTTTGTATACTTTTTTTACTATTAATCAAGTTTGTTTCTCACCTAAAATAATAATAATAATAATTAATAAATAAATGAGGCGTTTAGAAGCAAGGGCAATTCTAAAGACAATCAATGACATCTCTTCAGGCTGTTTTTCAGTTGTATTGTAAATCAAGCACCGGACAAAACTGCAACTTTGAGAAAGAAATAACAGCCTCTGCCACGTGATATGAAATATGCAAAGAAGCTTAAGGCTCCTTTTTTTTTTTTTTTTTTTTTTTTTTTTAACTATACATCATTTAGAAGGAGTTTTTACTTTGTAAAGATTGGCAACTATTTTACGAATGAGTGTGATGGCCCAGGGCTGTAGTTAAATATTCGAGTGTTCGGTGGCTCTTTTTAAGTCTTAAATGTGAAGATTTGTTCTTGCCACCTCAATTATTGATTGGTCTCATTTATTTTATCGATTTAAGTTTTCAGTTTTAAATTTTTACAGTAAAAAGTTCTTAGAAAATGTCACATCTAACTTTTTCTGTTACAGTAAAAAACTCTTAAAAAATATCACATCTCAACTCGAATTAAAAACTCGAATTCACGAAGTAAACGAGGCCTTTGGTCCGTTCGGTTCGCTAATTCGAGTTTTTAATTCGAGTTGAGATGTGATGTTGTGTGAGAGCTTTTTAATAAAAAAATTAAATGTGACTGTTTCTGATAACTTTTTATTATAATAAAATTTAAATTCTAAAATCGAATCCGTGAAAAGAAATGTATTTGGGATTACGCCTCCATGTATCTTGACTATTAGCACATTTGATAGGATTAATTGAGGTGACTGGCTGTTTATTGAGGGGTGGACCAGTAACCACCTTTGTGACAACAAATATTTATGTCAACATCTGCCGATTAAGTTACGCTCAAGAGTGGCATGCTGACGCCGATAGTAGTATGCTGACGTCGATTGCTCCTTATTGCCTTCTTGGACTTTTCTTAGCAAAAATTTAATAAAAAATGGCAAACATTATTACAAATATTTCTTCTTCTTCTTCTAATTTTGTTACCATTGTGGGCCAAAGAGATAGGCCACTATGAATAGAAGTGATATTGCCATGTGAACACATTTCCAACTCCAGTGTTGATGTTTCTATCACAATAGTGACAACTGACGCGCGGATGGATGCTGCTCCCACCAAAAAAAAAAAAAAAAAAAAAAAAAAAAAATTGTATAATCATTTCTTGCAGTTGATATGCCTTATGTTGTTTAATTATTATTATTATTATTATTTTGAATTTAAAGGTGAGAGGATTTGAACTCTTCACCTTGTTTAATATTACATGCTTATGTTTATGATGTTATAGATATTGAGGGGTCCTTTTATGATGCTGGGAGATGTGAAATTTTACATTAGAACTTGCAAATAATCGTATCTCATGATACGGTACTGAAAATTTTTCTTCTAACACCATAAAAGACCTGATATCGAGTCTTTTGGCTGTCATGAAAACGGGATGAAAAAACTCGTTAAAAAGTATATATATATATATATATATATATATATATGCGCGCGCGTAGCAGAGGCAGAACAGTAATCCGAAAAGGACAGTATGAGATAGGTATCATTAGAGGTTTTTTACACTATTAGTCCTAAATTACTAAAACATTGTGATGAGCTATGTGATAGAAAAGTATCTACTATCTTATATAATTAATGCTTCTATTCCAATCAAAACTTGCCATTAACATTACAATGGGAGAAATTATAGGAGGGGCTTGAGATTTATCTAATGTGAGAAGTGCAAAAAAAAAAAAAAAAAAAAAGGGTTCTGACTTCTTGAGTAAAAAAGTGTTGAGGGCAAATTGAGAGGAAGAAAGATTCTCGATGCCTTTCTATCTCTACAATTTTATATGGACATGATGCCATCAAGGACCAAAAGTTTGCATGTCTTGGATTCTGAGAAACTCATCAACCCATAAGGGACATGTAAATGTAGTGCACCTTCAAATTTAATGCCTACTTTGCTTAAAATCTTGCACGTGGAACATAAGCTGCAAAATCACCATAGAGACAAAAGGGCATAAAACTCATTGGAAAGGAGATACCAATTCATAACATACTTGAAAAAAAAAAAAAAAAAAAAAAAAAAAGGATTTATACTATTATACCTTGGTCCCTACGTAAAATGTCACCAACATTCCGGCCAAAACAGGTATACCTGCCGAGAAGAATATTGTGTTAGCTCATTTCATTTAAAAATAATTAAAAAAAAAATCTGTTGAGGATAGGAGGTTATCCCGTACCGTCCTTTTCGAGGAAGCGAGAAATTAACCAGTTAATGCCTGAAGCCCCAATGACAAAGCCAACAAGGTTTGCAACCTACATAACAATGGCATTGATAGAGTATTGTTTGTAGATTCGGCAGACATTACAAGTGCAACTTCAAAGAAAGTCATTTTACCGTAGCATTTATATATTCCTTATAACAACATGACTCCAGATCATTACCACTCGCTAATACTTCCGTGCCAATGGTGGCTATTAAAGAACTTTTTCAAAGTAAGGACGAGGTCGACTACGGGAGGTATCATCGCTTCTGTGACTGAATTTAACTAAAAGCATGTTCTTGTTATTTCTGACATTTGTTTAACTCCACAAATATTTCAATTGAGGTGGCTTAGAGTTAGGAATCACCGGATTAGTTTTATAGCTACCATCCCCAAAACCCTAAATGAACATGTTGGACATTTCATTTAGCTATATCATTAAGCTCATAAATAACAAAGGAAATGCATTCTGAAATAATGGATACTCTGATAAAGCATGGGACTGAAAAGAACAATGTTCTGACCATGAGACACGTGATTGTGACAGCACCAGCAACCGCATGAAGCTCACGCAGAACAAACTCTCTGAAAGCGCTTGTAGCCTGGAAGAAGTCATTAGGAAAGAAAAATACAAGAAGAAACATAAATAAAAGGGAAAAAAAAAAAGGAAGAAGAAAGATATGCATCATGAAGAGAGATGAATGGCCGCTTTTCCTCCCGCTGCACTCGTTACTTAGCTTCCCACTCGTGTTGTGTGTGCTAGCATAGGCATTTTCATTCTGGCTGCAATGCAATCTCTTTCTACTTCTTTCTTTCTTTTCCCCCTTTCTGGGAAAGATAATTACAATCTAGGATGCATCATTGACTAGATGTTGTTAAATTCTAGTTTTAACCACCAAACCCAATCTACCGATGATACATTTCATTTATACCATGTGGAAGTTATTAATTGTCAGCAACACCAAAATATAGTATATAGTTAAAAAATTATTACCAGTATCGCTGTTAAATTCAACAAAATACACTACAAAGTAAAGTTGGAAAAAGAGATACAAGTTACCTGAAATGCATTTGCTGCCGATTTAAATAGCATTTCCGGAATGAAGAACAAACATGTCAACCATGCCCAAGAAAGAAGCTTCCTAATGTCAGACAACAAAAAAAATTTCACTAAAGTGTAAGTTTGACAAAATTTTTTGTTTCTACTGGTTGCATATTATGTCAAGAAGGAAAAATGTATTACCATTCTAAATCATGCCATAAGGCAACAAATGTGAATACAACCCAAATGTTCTGTAGCTTCCTTTGAGATCCCCCAAGAGGAATATACATATACCTAGAATTGTAATCATTATAAGAAAAAAGAAGGGGAAAAAAGTATATTATATTAAATAAGAAGAGCGAGTGAAGGAGAAAGAGTCAAATAGTTGAAAGTTGCACCTCACTAGCCATTTGTTATAGGAAGCATGCCAGTTTTTCCAGAAGCTTTCCAAGTTATAGCAATTATTAATGCACCTGGGCATGTTCTCTGGGGCCTCAATTCCGCATATCTGCAAAGCTGCAAAGTCATCTTCTTTTTCTTTGGTGAGAAAAGCATTACAAGAAAATTAAAATTAATTGCACTGCCAACTAACATACCAGTGACCAGAATCGGAAGTAGCGCCATATCAGGAAGAACTTGAGCCACATGAAGTTTAAAACCTGTACGCATACAAATGAAACCACCTTAAATATATTTAAAAAGTGCACCCGCCATATAAATTCACATAAAAAGGTAAAAACAGACAAAAATAATAAAGTTCCAGGAACGCAGAACATAAGAGAAATTCAAATGTTATAACTACAGTACATCATGGGAAATAGTGAAAACAACTCCCTTAAGTGGATAAATATTTTTCAATATGATAGTATCTTACCCCATATCCGACGATAAACACATCCACAGGAGATAAATGTCTCCACGCACCACTAATAAGCAAAAAAAAAAAAAAGGAAAGTTTAATACCAGAGCATAAAACTTTATATGAAAGACGATATTCAAAAAATTGAAGAGACTCACCTGGTTGCAAAGGCATTGTAATAGAATAGATGTGTCATTAGTTCCATCAGGAGAAGGCTGAAGGCCCAACGAACACCATACCACGCCACATCTCTAATTGAGAAATTATTCTGAGGCACATCTAACTGAAATAATAAAGCAGGAGACAACACAATAAGATTCTCATCAGACCTATTTGTAAGGATCACCAACTTTAGCATCAAGGAGATGCAATTTGCTCATCTGATATTGATATAGCATATAGGACGTACACGCAGCATTGCCAGTGCATTTGTGAGGTCCCAAATATCAACCTTGAAGATTTCTTTATTAATTTGTTTTTAAAAATTCCAATAGAAACTCTAAGTACAAATCGTGAAGGTAACTAACCTGTGAGGCAAATGCATTGAAGCTCACTATTGGCCCAGCGAGATAAAGAGGTGCATAAACCAAATAAGAAAGATATATAGTAAAGGCAAATTTATCATCCTGTACACTTCTCTCCTGATATCAACATAAACATTAAGTAAATAAATGCACACATATGAAAAGTATGCTTAAGAAACACCTAAGCTAACCTGTAAAAACTGATAACAAGTTTTTCCAGATTTACAAAACTGGCAGTGTTGAATATGTTTCTGCAATATCAGAAAATGTATGAACGAGTCAGTAGAGCTGATTTCTGTTGTAACACCTGAAAATTATGCCTATAAAACCATGCATTACGCCTAACATCATGTGCACTCAGGAAACACCAATTTTAGTAGAAATGTTTCAGTTAAAACAAACAAGAGAAGCTGAATGTTTGCAAATAAAAAGAGTGGTTTCACGACGTCTAACATAAGAAAAGATATAAAGATCAGTTAGAGTAATGAGTACATGATACTCAGCAGAGGATACGGGCACTGTTGACAGTCATTAACCAAAGAATTCTTCCTGAATGCGGAAAGACAATGTGGTGACATTGCGGGCCACATTGACAATAACATTGAAGGTAGACAGAAAGGAGTGCTCTACAGTAATAAAAAGGAAGATAACATATTTCTTTTTTGAAAAAAAAAAAAAAAGCGTGCACACAGAACATAAACTTGAGAGTCCAACTATCCAAGAGATAGAGCCAATAGTTAAACAAATACCTTAACATTGGATCGTGAATCTTGATGTGCCCAATGGTAATCATAACCAAAGCTTATCATTCGCAGAACAACTGTCAAGGCACAACAACAAGAGAAAACATAACCTTTGCTGAAATCTCAATTGAGAAGTTGGTCTCAAAAAATATCTGATGCACATACAGAAAGGAGCTCGAAATAATAAACCAAAAGTTATGTTTGATTATATTTTGATTTGAATACTTATCAAAGAAGGGTGGAAAAATCCTACAGATCTCAGTATAATCTGGATTATGGTGCAAATGGGACATGGAGATCCCAGTCCCCATTGAAAATCATACCACTGTATATCCTCGAAAGCATAACTCGCTAAGCACCACACAATGATTTCGATTTCCATGAAATAGAGCAATGAACTTTCTCTTATAGAGAAAACTTTCATGACAAAGATTCTTTCCAGAGAAGGCAGCACCATTACTCTGGCCCAAAAACAAACTGCAACCCCAAACTCACTGGAGTTCACTTTCCAACAGGGAAAGCTTTGCTGTTACTAAACTAAAACCTCATTTTGTAAGATGTGTAGGATTTAACCTTTTAAATAACAGACTAAGTTTCCAGGTTCATATAGATGCAGGAACCTCGGGCCACTTTGAAGTTTTCATATAACAAATTCCACTAATGTAGATAACAAACATGATGTTTAAAAATAGTTAGACTCCAGAGGAACTACTGAAAATTAAACATAACGGGGAAAAAAGAAAATAAATACCAAAGTTAAAGCATATGTGCCATCGAAAGGTTCCTCGAAAGTTGTCCAAAAATGCCCAATATTGGCTATCCAAATAAACAAGCACACGTAATAAGTAGCTAGAGAGAATGGCCTTACATTCATTATTCTACTCCCTAAGCAAATCAATAGTTATTATGTGCAACACTCACCCTAGTGTGGAGAATGAATATCCATCATAAACACGGTTATAAATGAGGAAAAAAAGGTTGAAACTCCAAAATACAAAAGAGAAGTACTTTGTTCGTGCAAATCTCTGCAGTGTGTCAACAGCTAGGAAAATTATCCACATAATTATGAAGACCAATTGAGAAATAAAACAAATACAATGATGAATACCAAACGAACACACCTTTACGAGCAGAAAGTTCACGGAAGCAATTGAGATGATGAACACAATGCTTTCAAGAAGAAAGATAAAGAAAAAATAAAAACGTTAGTTAAATATCACCTGATCATTAGTAGTTTTATAACAGAGCTTTCTTATGAAAGAAACACACATACCAAGCACCATGAAGATATGAGAGGTATGCCAAAGAAATCAAGAGCCAAATAACAGACATCCCTTTCGCTTTTAAATGCAAAAAGGATCTCAATGCATTGGCCACAAATGCAAAAATTGTGAAAACCACAGTGAGAATAGGCAAATTTCCTCGAAAGTTCCTCCATTGGGCATCAGAGACATCCTAGGTAAAGATTTTTTTTTTCAAGAAAAAAAAAGTTAGTTGAAAACATAGGACTGCAACCTTTTGAATGTTCAATAGAATTGTCAGATATTTATAAAAAAAAAAATAATAATAATAATAATAATAATAAAATATACTTAAAATTTCATACAATTTTAGGCTATTCATAAAATTTCAAAATAAGGTACGTGTGTTCATTAGAGAGAGAGAATACATTGAATCGCTGAGATATGAACCATCCAGAACGCAAACCAAAGAGCTTGGTGTAATGATCTGTGCATTTTCCCCAAAAAGATGAAAAGCATTAGAAATGGAAATTAGAGGGAAGAGAGAAACGGGACTTTTTTTTTTTTTTTCCTTTTTTGAATAACCGTGAGAAAGTTGAAGAGATCGATGAATGATGAATGCATAGAAAGCAGCTGCATAGAGGAGGAGAAAGGCCAACTCTCTGGACTTTGGATTCCAACTTCTACTGCTATGATTTTGATAATCCTTCTTCATTGGAGCCACTGCCATTGACTTAATTCACACCACCAAACACATATTATTAGTATTACAACTCAAGGCCTATAGAATACAGCGGAATTGAAATAAAAGTGGCCTCTCTAGGGAAGTTTGGCTCCAAAAGCTTGGCCACTCAGCAACTGCCATGTGGAGACTCAAATTTGGAATATGAAAGCAGTTTTGAATATCCGGGCTAAAATCTAAAATCTTGTAACTAGCCCGTTTGTTTCATGAGGTTGAACGACAGTTCAAACCTTTTTACTACAGTGTTCTATCTCACAAAATTAAATTTCCGTTTAAACTTTCTGTCCAAACATATGAACTGAACGGGCTTCATGTTTCTTTGTGTGTGACTGTGTTGTTTTGGGGTCTGCTTTGGGGTCTGCTTTCTTTTAGCAGTTGGTTCACCAACTGTTCGAAGAAATTCTTAGCAGAGTTTCACAACAGCCTCATTTGGGCAAATTGCCATTTATAGAATTAAAGGTTTTTTCTTTCTTTCTTTTTTTTTTTTTTTCGTGTGTGTGAACTAATGAACTCTAAACCATTTGGTAGAATCAGGTGTAAAATTACTATTAGGTTATAACTGCAACCACATTAACAAGAGTGTCCAAAACTACATGAACCATCCTCCAAATTACTTCAAATCTATGGATGAATAATACATTTTTTATATATTAGTATTGTTAATCCCTAAACTAACAGTAACGTAACAGTTTGGTACTTAGTTCTTTCACAGGTTTTCGTCCCTAATCATAAAATTGACAAAGGTCCAAAATGCTTGCTTTATGAATTCAAAACATAATAAACAAACAAATTCATATAGTAATTTTAAAAAATTAAAAAAAAAAAAAACGAATTCATATAGTAATCTGCTAATAACCTCATATAAACATGAGATTTTTAATAAATGTACCCTTGAATATCTCGTAAACATCCTAAAACATGAAATTTTTATCTGAAATCACGCAATGCCCGGATAAATGCAGCAATCAGGGGAAAATATAAAATAAATAAATAAATAAAAAGTTGGCAGAACAAGAAACGTGATAAATCTAAGGAAAATTTCAAACACAAAAATGAAGGCGACGATTGGATTTTGATATGCCTGGGATCCATTAATTTTCAACAATGAAACCAATTCACAAAGCGCTTTGCGTTGTTAATTCAAAGTCGAAACGTTTCTTATTTAATTGGAAAGAAAAGAGAGAGAGAGAGAGAGAGAGAGAGAGAGAGAGAGAGAGAGAGAGAGAGAAAGAAAGGGAGAGAGAAAGAGAACCTCAATGGCGGTTGAATGGAAGCTCTTCTCTGCTCCCAACAGAAGGCGCTCACTACTCTGGGTCATAGCCCGCTCTAATTTCTCTCTTTTTTTTTTTTACTTTTTTTCTTGTTTTGTTTTTCATTTCGATTTTTATTTTTATTTTATTTTATTTTTGCTGCATGAACCCAAACAAAATGAAGGCAAATTAATTGGCTAATTCATAATTATCATTAAAAAATTAGCTAAATGACAATTTTTTTTGACACTTTTTCAATTAAAGGTCAGCTTCACTTTTTTTTATTTTACCAAAATAATTGGCTCATAATTAATTAGGGATTGATTTATAATTTATCAATAATTTATTATTAATAAATATATAATTCTAGATTAAAATTGATTAATTATTAATTGATTTTAGTTAATTATAAATTAATATCTATTAATTAAAGAATTCTTGAGTTAATCAGTAGTAAATTAAAATCAATCTGTGATGGACTGTTACGTCAATCAATAATTAAACGTAAATTTAAACAGTGATAGACTGTTAAGTCAATAAATGAAGAAAAAAAATCTTTAAAAAGGGATATTTGTGCTGAAATCTCATAATTTATTTAGTAAAACTAATTAACAAGTTTTTTGCTTATCAAAACTAATTAACAAGTTGATCCAACTCTTTTGATTTTAATGATTGCATCGCCTTTTTTGTTTTGTTTGGATAACTCATGATTGAACTCTTTTTTTTTATTTTTCATCATGATTATCATTGATTTTGGTTGGTAGATTCGTGTTATTATGATTCGAATCGTGGTTCGTGATTCGCTATAATATTTTCTCTCATAAAAAACACACGTAAATCAAAAATAATTCTGAATCATGATTCTAAATTTATGAACCAAACATCTATTTATATAATTATCGGCAAATCTGATCAAATTCATCTCGGCCAAAATCCAATCGATGATCACCGCACAATGAGACATTATTGATGGTTCTTGCTTAGGAACGAAGGAATAAAAGAGGAAATATTTCCGAGAAAATTCAAATAAACAATGTCACATAGAGGGGCTTTTCCGCAAGGATAGGTCTTGATTTACACATGCCAAGGCCTACTCTAAAGGATCAGGACTATCAGAGAGTAATGGTTGCCATTAATGAGGTCGTCGATCTCTCTCTGCCTACGGGCCTCTTCATTAACTTGAACTGAACATGCATTTCCTTACGGTGAATAGCATGACTGGTTGGGACCTGAGTACTGTTAGGCTGTTAGCCATAATTGACTGGTTCAACCCCTAATCAGCACTAGTAAGAGCCCGTTTAGTTTATGGATTAGAATTATGAGATTAAAATTATTTTCGATTTACGTGTATTTTTTGTGAGAGAAAATATTGTAGCGAATTATAAATTATGATTCAAATCAGAGAACGAATCCTCTAACCAAACGGGCTCTAAGAGACTGAGGGCGAGTCGCTTGTGCCCCTTTCCCCTATCGGGTCTACATCCACCGGAATTTCAATTTCAATTCAAACATGGGTTTACTCATGAATTAGTTTACTCATGAATTACACTTACACCCATAATCCTTACCATGACATTTATCTATCAATTGTGGATTTTAATATTTATTTATTCATTTTTAAATGCATTTGAAATTACTTGCTACAAAAACATTACTCCTCCTTCAAAATCAAATTTAGATTCGATTTTACAGACATTGTGTGTGAGCGTAACATTTCATATTATTACAAGTTATATGCTTCATATGCACTGTTATCATGTTGTTCAACGTTTTGAAACACTTGGGGCGTGTTTATTTTGTATAAATGGAGAAAAAAAGTAATTGAGTGATTATTTTTCTTTTATAATAATGTGTTTATTTATAAAGTCAATAATAAAAGTTTTGTGGAGCACACACACTATAAAAAATAAAAAAAGAAAATATTAATCCGTTAAAAAAAGAGAATATTAATTCTTATTAAAAAAAGAGAATATTTTAATTCACATGCTTCGCATGTGTGGGTGCTTTGCGGAGGTTGAACGTTGAATATCATTATATATATTTAATATATGAGAAATATTTATTAATTTTGATATTCTAATCAGGTTTATTTTGAAAATAAATTGTTATATATTTCATCAAGAATAGATACTAACAAAGTATTGAATTATTTTAAATAGAAAAAATAATTAAGTACCATTTAAAATATCATTTATTTTCTCCATAACGTGGTAATTTTATGCATAAAAGATTTTTTTAAAAAATATTCTATATTAATTAGATCGATCTGTGAGAAAAGAAAAGAGAAGATTATATAAGAGAAATCAAATTCGGAGAAGAAGGAAAACGAAAAAGAAAATCTTGATGAAAGAATGAAACAAAAAAAATGCCAACTTTATTGAGCCTTATTCACTAAATTAATATTTTAAAATTTCAAGTGAAATAAAAAGAATTAAAAAAAAGAGAAGCGCGTGAGGAAAAAATAGACACCATGTTTTTGAATAAGAAAAAGGAACTCTCATTTATGTATATAGTTTAAAAACTTAATTATTGTACATTATATATATATATATAAAAGAATTTTTTTGTGAATTATATAAAAGAGAAGTTGCTAATTATAACCAATGATTTGGCATATATGAAAGTGAAGAAGAAGAAGAAGAAGGAGGAGAAAAAGAATAAGAAGAAGATGGACTAAATTTCTAAATAGTGCCTAAAAGGGAATTCTTCTTTATAGTATAGTAATAGAAACATTAGAAAATGAATGAATGATCCTTATTCGTATTATTTTATTTTTCTTTTTAATCTTATTATATTTTTTATTACATTTCTTTATAGTTAGGTAAACACGCTCTTAATTCTTTATTGTATAAATTTTCCACATTCAACCCAATCCTAAATTTTAGGCTCCAAAAACGTACTATTCAAATCTTGATACCCAAATAGACGTGTTTGTTACTACACTTGACAATCTATTATAACATAGAGGATTTGTTCATTCTAATAACCTTTTTGATTGAATTTATAATTACTTCACTTTACCGATTCGAGTTTAAAATTTAAATTTTGCTACAGTAAAAAGTTTTCAGAAACAGTCACATTTAACTTTTTTGCTATAGTAAAAAATTCTCACATAAAATCACATCTCAACTCGAATTATAAACTCGAATCAGCGAAATGAACGAGCCATTAAGTGTTGCACAAAATGCCAACCCAAGACCTAATAATATCCCAAAATCTGGACCTTTGCTTTTTAAGCCATTGGATGGGGTTTAAATGCTTTCAACCGTTAAGAATAAGGTACATTTATAGTGGAAAAGACAATTTTACTCTGTAAATAGGAAGCGTGTTTTAACTATTGGATTAGTTTTTCAACGTTTTTATTTTTATTTTTAAAGATAAAATTGAATGTCATTACGGGCACATCAGCTGTGATAAAGGCCTCGTTCATTTCACCGATTCGAGTTTTTAGTTTTAAGTTTTTATAGTAAAAAGCTCTCAGAAATGTCACAACTAACTTTTTTTACTACAGTAAAAAGCTCTCAGAAAATGTCACATTTCAGCTCGAATTAAAAACTTGAATCCGCAAAGTGAATGAGGCCAAAACTTTCAATACAACGAGAATAATTATCAATCTAAACACGAGCCTCAATACAAAAAAAGGCTAATTGAGTTAGTGTGTGGATAGCTCCATTACTCTGATGAGAAATATGGTTGCATGAACCACCACGAGTTTCTGACATTAGGACTTTCAAAATCCTTAATTATATGTTCTTCTGCAGCAAACACATGATAAATCTTGGACCACACATTGTCTGGCGACGCATTCAGCAATCACCGGAGAGTTGGACCCGTTCATTTGTTTGGAGAAAGCCCCACGAACTTGGCCTATGGAGTGCCAAATAAGTTAGACAATGCCGTATTTAGAATTGATATTGTTTTTATTTTTTACGTTTTTTGAGAAAAAAAAAATGAAAATATTTTTAAAATAACGTTTGACGTAATAAAAATAAAAAATAAAAATGAAAATAATTTTTTAATTTAGTGTCAAATAAAAGAAAAATAAAAAATGATTTTTAGTCATTTTTTATTTTTTATTTTCATTTTCTCCTCTCTCAAACAGAGAGAAAGACATTAATGTGTTTTTTATACTGAAAATAATCTCTTAATAAAACTACTAAACGCATTTTCAAAAATAATTTCTATATGAGATTGAAAACGTTTTTATTTTTATTTTCATACAAAAAATAAAATTATTTTAGAACGAATTTTAAACGCGCCTTAAGTGATTTCAAGCAGGACACTTATACGTCGTGTTATGTAAATTCTTAATGAGAATACACATATCTGAACGGTAAAAAACTAATCTAATGATTAAAAAAAAAAAAAAAAAGCCTTTACCGGTAGAGAAATTAAAAATGCATGTCCTATTATAAAATTTTCCATAACTAAAAATATGACTACTTTTTGACAACTGACAAAAAGCTACAAATTGGTCGGTATCCCTTATAGAGCGTTCAAAGCGATTGAAATTGAAAGGTCTGTCAATCCTTAAAAGATAAGGATATCAGTTAGGAGTGTTCATTGTTAGTTTGTCAAAACCAAAAAACGAAAATCTTTTTTTTTTTTTTTTTAAGGAAAATTGTGCTGCAAATCATAAAGATACACCCATTAATATACACTAATGACACCAAATATATTTAAATTTATTTTTGGTTGGCTTGGTTGGTTTGTTTTTAAGGGAAGCTAAATCAAACAAAACATGTACAATCAATTTAGTTGATTTGGACTTACAAGTCAAATAATTCTTGACTTGGAGCAAATTTGTTTGCGTCATGTAAATTAACTATCATTATAAAGATCTCCATTAGTACATAAACCGATTGTATACCACCGCTGATAAACACCAGAATAATCGATATTCACTGGGCCAAGAGGACCCCCTCGAGTAAAAGCTTCCACAGCCGGTTGGCCAAAATGAGGATCCCAAATTGCATGAGCAATAGGTCTTACATGTAAGGGGTCCTGTACCCATGCCTCAAAGTTTCCTTGCCAAGCTACATGAAACAAATTTCCGGAAGTCCACAAAAAAATTATTGCTAATTGCCCGAAATGCGAGGCAAAAATATTCTCGGCTCTTTTTCCCGAATTTTACTCTTAACAACTCCTATGTTCGAAGCAAAATGTTGTCTAATTAAACCACGAATTACAAAAGTCTGGAAAAGTTCTATTGCTATTTCGCGAGGCAATCCACATCCGATGGAGAGAAGAACCTATGATTAGCTTTTCGGGAAATTTCCAAACGAACAATTTCAACGAAATCTTTCAATTTCTTATTTTACTATGTTCAACTTTATGTATTCCTCTATCCGTAGAGTACATTGAATGTACAGAAATGGCTATAACGAGGGTTCGAAGCCCTCTCTTTCCATTTTCGTCGATAACTTTCTTTTTCTTTTTATTTCCTTTCAAATTTTGAATTTTTCGCAATTTTTTTTTTAGTTATTTTATTAAATAGTTAAAATTAATAGTTAAAAATGTGAAATAGATAAAATCCTTCTAAGAACATTTCAAAATCGAGTAAGAAGAACCAATCTCTTTTTAAGTATTTGATTAGCTAGTTAAATAACAGAAGAATTACACAGAATTGAGAATTGAAAGTATAAGTCCAAACCTATCAAACCAAGAAAGGAAAAAATCCAAATCAATAGAAAGCTACGTGTATAAAAATCTAGAGAAGATAACAAAATTGTAAAAGAGTTTTGATCAGTTTGGCGATTTGAAATTTTTAACGTCTTGTTCACTTTGTGGATTTGAGTTTTCAATTCGAGTTGAGATATGATATTTTCTTAGAGTTTTTCACTGTAGCAAAAAAAAAAAAATAGATGTGACATTTTTTGAGAGCTTTTTACTGTATACATTTAAAACTGAAAACTCAAATTGGTGAAATGAACAACGAAACCAATAAATAAAAGAAATTTTCTAACAGTGGTGTAGCAAGATAAATTTTTTCAGGTGACTAAGGAAAGAAATTTCAAACTGTGGTGTAGCAAGAAGATTTTTTTCAAGGGGCATGAGTTAAATAAAAATTTAGAAGTAAAATAACCACATAACTATCTTGTTTTCTTTTTAAAGCCTTTGCTCTTTTACTTTTATACCTTTTCAATCTATATTTTTATCTTTCATTTATTCTTACAAATGAATCATCTTTCATTTATTCTTACAAAGAATCAAAATTCTAATCGAGTGTAATTCACTTTAAGTTTAAGTCTACAAAATTATAAACTCATATTGTTAGTTTGACTTATTTCTATTACAAATGAGTAAACATGAAACTAGAATTTGGAAGATTATAGAAAATATTTTAAACATGTGTAAAAAACTTGTAATTATAAAATTTTAAGGAGGGATAAAAGTGTTAGAAAAAGATTCTCAGAGACTTAAACATTAAAGGAGCTACTTGGCCTGAAAAAGGATAAACATGTGACTATAAAATTTTAAGAAGGGACAAAAGTGTTTGAAAAAAAATTCTCGAAAACCAAAAATTAAAGGAGCCACTTGAGCTGAACTTTAAGTGGGTCTGTCCCTACTTTTAACAACGTTTGATTGGTGAATTCGTATCATGATTCGGATTATAATTCGTGATTCATTATAATATTTTTTTTTATAAAAAATACACGTAAATTGAGAATAGTTCTGAATTATAATTCTGAATCTATAAACTAAACATCATTTCTTTAGGTTTATGTTCACATTTAGGTTATTCTTTTTTTTTTCACACCCTAATCTCAATCATGTAGAAAGAATATGGTAGTATTTGTAAAGAATGGTGTATTCATGGAAAAAGAGGCGTGATTGCATCCAACGTCATAGCTGTATTTCAAGACTAAGGTCTCGTTCATTTCACCGATTTAAATTTTTAGTTTTAGGTTTTTACAGTAAAAAATTCTTAAAAAATGTCACATCTAATTTTTTTTATTACAGTAAAAAACTCTCAAAAAATATCACATCTCAACTTAAATTAAAAATTAAAATTTATAAAGTGAATGAGACCTAAAAATTTCACTTTCAGTGCCTTCTAAAAAGACCCCGGGGCAACTAGACTGACCCATCTAAAAAGACCTTTCGTTTTCCTCTCTTTCTTTCTTGTCTTTTTTTTTTCCCTCTCACTTTCTTTCCTTCATTGACAGCCCTTTATACGTTTAAAAGTTGTTAAAGAACTTTTTTTTTTTTTTGGAGTTCTTATGATAAGACCAAAAAGAAAAATAATAATTATCAGTAGTTGTCAGATTTGTAAGAAATTATTTATTTTATATATTTTTTATTTAATGTGATTTTTGGATCCGTTTAGTTTGTTAATTTAAGTTTTTAATTTAAATTAATATGTGACTTTATGTGAAAGTTTTTTATTGTAATAAAAAAATTAAATATGATTATTTGTGAGAGCTTTTTACTGTAGTAAAACTTGAATTTTAAATTCGAATCAGTAAAATAAACGAGACTTTAGTTAAATTTAACGCCTAAAAATTGAGTTAATCCGAAAAAGTGTTTTTTTTAGATTTTTTTTTTTTTTTTGCTACTGATTTTTTTGAGGTGTTAAAGATATCTCTTATCAATCATTAAAAAAAAAATGTTATAGATATTGGTGTCAGATTTGTAAGAAATTATTTATTTTATATATTTTTTATTTAATGTGATTTTTGGATCCGTTTAGTTCGTTAATTTAAGTTTTTAATTTAAATTAATATGTGATTTTATGTGAAAGTTTTTTATTGTAATAAAAAAATTAGATATGATTATTTGTGAGAGCTTTTTACTGTAATAAAACTTGAATTTTAAATTCAAATCAGTAAAATAAACGAGACTTTAGTTAAATTTAACGCCTAAAAATTGAGTTAATCCGAAAAAGTGTTTTTTTTAGATTTTTTTTTTTTTTTTGCTACTGATTTTTTTGAGGTGTTAAAGATATCTCTTATCAATCATTAAAAAAAAAATGTTATAGATATTGGTTGTGTCGTTGCTATAAACTATTATAAGATCATTGTTACTTTGTAAGGTCATGCTAAAATAAAAACGACTTATGAGATTGATGTCTCATAGTTTATTGTTAGGAGGAATAGGATTATGTGGTTTGAAAACGAAAAATTGATTAATATTATATAACTAAGTTGACATTCTCATAAGACATGTACATAAATTTAAAAAAAAAAAAATCTGATAAAAATTTTAAGTTCCATAACTAGGTAGTTATTGGTATGGTATTTTTATTACCCTATTATAATTGCTGCATATCTGGCTCATAATAATAAATTATAAAACCTAATAACATATTACAAAAGCACCTAATTACAAAAAAAATAAAATAAAATAAAAGAATAGAATAGAATTGGTTCTAAAAGAAGAAGAAAATTATTGTATTTCTTATATGATTAAACAACAACGACAAAAAAAAAAAAAAAAAAAAAAAAGAGTAAGGAAAACGTTCTGGTTTCTGAATTTATTCCCAAATCTAGCACACTTTAATCCTTTTATTTCTTTAATGAAATGTTTTGTAGATCTCATAGTCTTTAATCTTAATATAATATAAATGAAAAGAACAGAACAAAAGAAAACCGTCCAATGCACGTGCATACAAATACGCGCACAATAATATATACATTTTTTAAAAAGGTAATACAAAACAAACCTTATAATAACTTAAAAATGGGCAAGGTTGTATGTGTAATGTGAGCTTTCATTAATTAATATTATTTGGAATTACACAGTTCAATGTGATCTAGACATGTTTATCTGCACATATCCAAAGCAATCCTTTGTTTTTTTTTTTCCCAATAATTATGTTAAGGTATGAAAAAAAATAAATTTCCCATTTAAAAAAAATAAATATCCTATTCGTATTGTTTTACTATTTTATTGAATAAAATTAAATTTATATATATATCATGAAAATTTAACATAACTTAATGGAATTTTTTTATATCTATGATTGAGGTATCTATGTAATGTATATATATGTTTAATTATATGGCCCTTTGCTTACAAGATTTCTTATTCTTATTGGTTGTCTCAGCTTTGTATTTATTTGTGCTTTTCATTACTTAGTGAGAATTTAAAAAAAATTAAAGAGAAATTGAAGATAGAGAAAGGTATTTATTTGTACTTTTTATTACTTAGTGAGAATTTAAAAAAAAAAATTAAAGAGAAATTGGATATGCATGTATAAGATAGTGACATTTTTTTTGTACAAATTAAAGAGAAATTAAAGATAGTGACATGCAAATAAAAAGCACAAGTTGCATGCATCAAATGTAATAAAGTATGACCAAAAGGAAAGTTCCAAGTCATAGCCTTGTGGGACACATGAAGTAAGAAGACCAAATGCCCATTCAAACTTCAAAATTGTCAGAGTTGATACATTATTGCATCTCTCTCTCTCTCTTCCCCAGTCTCTCTCTCATTTCCTCGAGGGAAACTATTAAACAAGAAAAAAAAAATAATAATACTTTGCTAGTATGTCATACATACTCATTACTCTGTTAACAATTAGCATTTTACAGCTTGAACAAATTTTTATACCACATATTTTACAGTTTTGAACCGTTATATTTTATATGCATCAGAACACATTAGAATAAAAAAATGGTTTAAATTATTTAGTTGGTGAATTCGTATCTTAATTTAAATAATAATTCATGATTTATTATAATATTTTTTTTATAAAAAATACATATAAATTAAAAATAATTCTGAATTATAATTTTAAATTAATAAAACAAACGTTCATTTAAAAATTTTACAGTAAGACATGTACTTTAACTAGTAGTAGCAACTGTTTTTTTTTTTATTTAAATTTTTGGAAGTTTTCAAATAATTAGAGCAACTCTGTTTTGCCCTGAAATAAAATATTATTTTAGAATCGAGACAGTGTACCTGCTCTCTCTTTCTCTCTCATTTCCTAGAGAGAGAAACTGTTAGGCAAGAAAAAAACAAATAAATAAAGAAAAGCACATATTGTACGAGCTAAGACACAACAAAGTAGAAATCCTTGTTGTTTCTCATCCTCATCTTCAGCATCTTCAATATCTTCATCTGGGTCATGTTAATGGTGAATTGAGAGACAACAAGATTGATGATGAAAGAGTTAGCCACAAAAACCGTCCTTTCTCAGTTTTTTCTTCTCCTAATACTTTTGTCACCATGTCTCTCCCAAAAACAATCCTCCTTCTATTTCGGTCCTTTCAACGAATCATATTACGCCACGTTAGCCGTCCTCCCCCAAGCCAGCATCAACAACGGCGCTCTCCAAGTCACCCCCGACTCCAGCGGCGACTTCTCACTCTCGAACCGCTCTGGCCGAATCCTCTTAAACCAATCCTTCACGCTTTGGAAAACGCAGAGCCATATTGCGTCGTTTAACAGCTCCTTTCTTGTGAACCTTTATCGCCGGAACGACTCTCCCTCCCCTGGCGAGGGTTTAGCCTTCCTCATCGCCCCGAACCTCAGCCTCCCTTCCGACAGCCACGGCCAGTACCTTGGCCTGACCAACGCCGCCTCCGACGGCAGTGCCGGCAACAAGATTGTTGCCGTCGAACTCGACACTTTTAAGGAGGCCTTCGACCCCGACGGCAACCACCTCGGCCTAGATGTCAACTCTGTCCGCTCCGTCAAGACGGTGTCGCTCTCCAACCTTGGTATCGAGATCGCGCCCAATGGCACGAAGTTCTATGTGGTTTGGGTCGAGTATGACGGCGGGAGCCGGCGGCTAAGCGTGTTCATGGCGGAGCAAGAGAGGGAAGCAGACGATAAATTTGTTATCAGGTGATGTACAACAGGTTTAGTCAAATCACTAAAATTTGAATTTTATTATGATTTCTATTTTTATAAGGTTGTTATTTGTATTTAGTTTTGAGTTTTTTAAAAAAAAAAAAAAAAAAAAATTATTATGACTTTCTACTGTATGTTGTTATAAAGATTAGAATTATCCCAGTCTTGTACCGCAAAAAGATTAGAATTATTACTAAGGAGCTGTGTGTGCTCACGGCGGAGGAGGATTTTTATTTATGTAGTATTTTATTTGGATTTAAGACTCAATTAAGATTAATAGTTCGTGTTTTATTAGGATTTATTTTTATTTTGGTCATTTTTTATTAGATTAGGAGTCTTTTTTATATGTTACTATCAAGATTAGTAGTTTTTTTTTTTTTTTTTTTAACATGTTATTGGATTTAAGACTCTAACTAAGATTATGGTTAATTAGTCAAGAAATAATACCTTAGGCTTTATTTTTGGATGAGTTTTTTTTTTTTTTTTTTTTCCATAAATTATATAGAAACGTTTTGAATGTCATTATTCTAACTTCGACTGTGTCATTAGGCCGAAGCCAGAGAAGCCGGTAATGACGGCGGATCTCGATCTTAGTGAGGTCGTTGATCAAAAGTCCTACTTCGGCTTTGCGGCCTCCACCGGGAGCTCCTTCCAGCTGAATTGTGTGCTGAGGTGGAATCTCACGGTGGAGGTGCTGCCAGGTGGAGGAGAAGGGGGCGGCGGCAACGATCAAGGGGTTAAGATTGGACTAGGCATTGGAGTGCCTGCATTGGTGATTTTGCTCGTGGCATCGGCGGGGTTGGTATATTACCTACACCGGAGACGGCGGGCGGGGGAGGACCCCGCCATCTTGGGGGCCCTCAAGAGTCTTCCAGGGACACCAAGGGAGTTCAAGTTTAGTGAGCTAAAGAAGGCTACTAATAATTTTGATGACAAGCATAATAAGTTGGGTCAAGGTGGTTTTGGTATTGTGTATAGAGGGACATTGCCTAAAGAGAAGGTGGAAATAGCCGTCAAGAAATTCTCAAGGGGCAATCTCAAAGGAAAGGATGATTTCTTAGCTGAGCTCACAATTATAAACCGTCTGCGCCATAAACACCTCGTTCGGTTACTTGGTAATTTACCCTTTTTCTTCTTTTATGCCACATTCATTTTACCGATTCGAGTTTTTAATTCGAGTTTTACTACAGTAAAAAGCTCTTAGAAAAAGTCACATCTAACTTTTTTACTACAGTAAAAAGTTCTCACATAAAATCACATCTAAACTCGAATTAAAAACTCGAATCAGCGAACTAAACGGACCCTTAATTTTTCATTTTCACTTTATAGACTAGTAATTTTTCCTTTTCTTGCATCACACTTTTTTAGTGTTTCAATTCATTAATTAATGGACACATTTAAATATGCATTAATATGGTGAACTGTGTTCAAATCTCACTAACATAATTTTTTTTATTTTTTAAAAAAGGACGAATTATAATGACCGTTCATTAAGTAAATCCTCACATTTTGTATTTCCTAGTACATTTTTCTTGAAAAGGCCTAAAACTAGAATATCTGAGTATTTATTTAAGAAAAATCTAATGACAATTTGACAGAAAACTCTTGTACAATTACAAAACGTTTTTACACTATGGGGAGAATTAATTAATGGACACATATCCAAATTGATCTCCTGAGTAGCCTACCTAGTAGTATTAATCAATCATAACACAAATTTTCAATTCATGCAATGACAAATAGGATGGTGCCACAAGAATGGGACCTTGCTCCTAGTATATGACTACATGCCCAATGGCAGCCTGGACAACCACCTCTTCTGCGGTCCCGAGAAGGCGGTGCTGAGCTGGAGTCTCCGCTACAAGATTGTTTCCGGGGTGGCCTCAGCCCTGCACTATTTGCACAATGAGTATGATCAGAAGGTAGTACACCGCGACCTCAAGGCGAGCAACATCATGCTGGATGCCCACTTCAACGCGCGGCTGGGTGACTTTGGCCTAGCCCGCGCCTTGGACAATGAGAAGACCTCCTATGCCGAGCTTGAGGGTGTCCCGGGCACCATGGGCTACATTGCCCCCGAATGCTTCCACACGGGAAAGGCCACCCGCGAGTCTGATGTCTACGGATTTGGGGCAGTGATTCTTGAGGTGGTGTGTGGACAGCGACCATGGACAAAGATCGACAACTTCCAGCTTTTGGTGGATTGGGTGTGGTGGCTGCACCGGGAGGGCTGCATTCTCAAGGCAGTTGATGAGAGGCTGGGGAATGACTATTCGGCGGAAGAGGCAAAAAGGCTTCTGCTGCTGGGGCTGGCGTGCTCCCATCCAAATGTGAGCGAGAGGCCAAAGACTCAGGCCATTGTTCAGATCATTTCGGGCTCGGTGGCACCTCCCCACGTGCCTTCATTCAAGCCGCCTTTCATGTGGCCGTCGGCTGTGCCGGATGGGGCGGCCATAGGGATGGACAGTGACAGTAACATGAACAGCATGACTACTAGTATTACTACTGGCTCTTCTTGGAATGTCGGATGGACACCGCGGTACGCCAGCCAGGAGAGCAACACCGGCGGTGATTACATTTCAGAACCTTAAGTAGTTCATACCACAAGTTCAAAATTACTTAAAACATCTTCACATCCCTTTCCCTTTTTTTTTTTCTCCCTTAGAAAAGTTTAGATGACTTTCATTTCTATTTCCTAATTGTTTTGTGAGGGGTTAAGTATTTCCTTTCGTTGTCAAATTATTTTTGTCAATTTCTATTTCACTCGTCTTTGATTTATTGAGGGTGGGGAGGCTGTGAGTTCGCCTATGTAAATTGTATATTCTGACTAATAGTCCAGCATGTATAAATATTGTTCTCATTTTTTTTTTGATTTTTATTTTTATTTTTAGAGTTTCATGTAACTTTCCTTGAAGAGATCTATGCATAAATGATAAGCTAAATTTTGATTATTGAGAGCCAAGTTTTGAGATCTCATGTTCAAAAAGCAAGCTTTACAAGCATAAACCTGCAACATTCTTTTGGTTTGTAGATTTGCAAAATAATCCCCTCATTTTTTACTTAATAACACGAATATCATCATCCTCTTAGAAATATCACATTAATACACTCGAATTAAATTGTTTTAAGATCCGCTCTGGGGACACTTGTTTCCCCTATTACTTTTTTATTATTTTTAAGATATAAACTTGTTTCTTCTGCAAGGTGCTTAACTAGGAAACAATTTGATGGTGTAGAATAAACGACTGAGTCAATAGTACACTTCATACGGAGAAATGTATAAATACCAATTTTTTCTATTCCATTCATCTTGTATGTATAATCCTTGAAAGAATAACTTGAAGCTGTACTTATTTACAATTAATTTTCTTTCGAAAAAGAATAATAAAAACTCCGGTAGGAAAAAAAAAAAAAGGAAACTACGTACACATATGATGTGCCTGTACAAAAGGCCGTCGTGAGTTTAACTACGGGATGGATTGGATGTTGCATCAGACAAGTGGATTCTTGGGTTTGACTGATTTGTCACGTATGGGTTTCCAGTGTCATCCAAATCAACAATGGCAGTATCACCAGGCTTGTACTCTCCAGCAAGTAGTGCCTCGCTCAACCGATCTTCAATTATCGATGTGATTGCTCGCCTGAGAGCTCGAGCGCCATATATCTCACTATACCCTTGTTGGCATATAAGGTCCTTGATTGACTCTGACACTTCCAAACCAATTCCTAACGATATGAGCCTTCCCTTGACCTCTTGCAGCATTATATTAAAAATCTCAAGCATCTGGAACAAAACCATAAGTGAACCCCAAAATGTGAGTAAATATTACATCTTGAAGTGCATGTGTGTATATATGTATGACAGCCAGTGACGGAGCTAGAGATTTTTGTTAGTGGGGCTACTAACTAAATAAAAATTTAAACAAAATAAATATCCACATATGAGGTATTAACATTAATTTCAGTGGGGGCTCATTGGTACTAGTATAATATAATATTTAATTATCTATGTAATTCAAAAGGAAAAAAAAACTTAGTGGGGGCTTAGGAGTTTGGCTCCGTGCCTAATGACAGCAATTTCAAGGTACAAACCTGAGCCTTTTCAAGGGGATGGAACACGACGACTTCATCAATTCTGTTGAGCAGCTCTGGACGAAAATACGCCTTGAGTTCTTCCACTACTATCGCTTTCAATCCAGAATATGAAGTTGGTTCATCATCTGTAGTCAAGAAACCAATGGAGCGGTGTCTACCCTTTGCAATGGCTGTGGAACCCACATTAGAAGTCATCACCACCAATGCGTTCTTAAAAGACACTCTTCTTCCCTATTAAGCCCAATTCTTAGGAAGGTAAGATACTTGAAATATGGAGTTCAGCAAGAACGAAACTTTGAGCACGTTCAAAATGTGAAGTACCTGAGAATCTGTGAGGTGACCATCTTCAAATAGTTGGAGAAGCATGTTGAACACATCTGGATGGGCCTTCTCAATTTCATCAAACAACACCACTGTATATGGGCGTCTCCTAATAGCTTCCGTTAAAGTCCCTCCCTCTCCATAGCCAACATAACCTGGGGGTGATCCGATTAATTTGCTAACAGAATGCCGCTCCATATATTCACTCATGTCAAGGCGTAACATGGCTTCCTCCTGTGTTGATAACATGCAAGGAAGATTCAAAAATAAGATCAAAAATGAAAATACCGGTACACCAACCCCAATTGCCTCTCTGTAAGTTAGGAATATAGATACCAATGACCACCTCACCACTTGGCATAAGTTTACTGGCACAACTTTCGATGACATCATGAAATATGAATCTAGCAATATATGTGAACAATATTTGAAAAAGAAAACACAGGGTTCTCCAGTTTCCTATCCCAAAACCAAGTCCAAAGAAAAATTAAGGGAACTGAGTGATTAAAAATGTTAAACAGAGCCTTACCGATCCAAAGTAGCATGCAGCCAAAGCTTTTGTCAGTTCAGTTTTTCCAACCCCAGTAGGGCCACAAAAGAGCAGTGCTGCCATAGGTCTATTAGGATCCTTCAGACCAACACGGGATCTCTTAACAGCCCGACAAATGGCAGTCACAGCCTCATCTTGACCAACAACTCGTTTCCTTAGTTGTTCATCAAGACCGACGAGATGCATTCTGTCATCTGCGGTGAGTTGCTCAAGAGGTATCCCCGACCATAGTGAAGCAACTTTTGCTATATCATCTGGCCCCACCACTGAAGGTCTAAAAAAAATACCATCAAACAAAATTAGGTCAGATACCAATTTGTCCCCAAGGGAAACACATGATCACTGGTTTAACACAGCATACATATTTTCAGGGCCAAAAGTCATACTCATTGTCTGATGAGGAAGGCAAAGCTGAATCTGCAACATGTTCACTTGTATCATCCATGCCAAAAGCAGCAACATTTTTCAGCTTGCTTGTGAGGACCTATTCACATTGAAAACTGATGTTAGTACTAAAATTGAATACATACATGGAAAAGGAGTAATGACAGTCATTACCACTTCATGCATGGCTTGCGTAGTTCTAATTTCTTGCCAATAGTCATCAGGGGACTTTGAAAGTATACCGATTTGCTGTTCTCTTTTCTTCTTAAAAGCTTCAATACGAGCTCTACTTCCCGCCTCATCAATGAGATCAATGGCTTTATCAGGAAGATACCTGTCAGATATATATCTTGCCGATAGATTTACGGCAGCATGTATGGCTTCCAGTGTATATCTGCACTTGTGATGGGCTTCATATTTCTTACATAGGCCTAAGAGTATCTTAATTGCATCATCCTAAAAATTCGGACATAATATATAATTATTAAAATAATCATAATTGCCAACAACTGATGTGCATTATAAGAGGAAAGTATTGAAAAAGACCTTGCTTGGTTCGTCAATCCAGACTGGCTGAAACCTTCGTGCTAATGCTTTATCCTTTTCGAAATGTAGCCTGTATTCATCTGCAGTGGTGGATGCAATGCACTGCAAACAATGGAATCCGCAGCTTGCTTAGATAATACTTACAATACCATGACATAACTAAAGATACTAGAAAACTAGCTGATTGAAGCAAAGTAAAATAGCATGTATCCATTTCATCCAACTTTCACAATCTAATACCATTTCTTCCAACAAGTATCACAGCTAATTCAAATAGAAAGTGTAAGAATGTTCCAACCAGTGACATTTGCAGTTAATTCAAACAGAAATTTGAAAGAGCCTATTCAAAAAGTCCGACCGTTAAGCAACTTCCTTTAGGAGTAACAATTCTTAGGGAAAACATGATCAAAATACCAAGTTTATAAAAAATCCCTAACGTGAACTACACGAGTAAAACAAGAACAAAGAACAAACCCTAACCTGTAACTGACCCCTCCCAAGTGACGGTTTCAATAAATTACCAATATCTAGACCAGAACCCTTATTTCCATTTCCAGCTGCGCTGTATTCAACAAGTATATGGGCTTCATCAATGAAAAGAACTATATTCCCTGCAGAGCACGAAATAGCAAGCCTAAGAAACAATATACATATAAGCACTTTTGTTCCTGTGAAAAAATTCAAAATGTATATTCACCTGCTTTTTGTATTTCGCTAATCAATGTCGTAACACGTTTCTCTAATTCCCCTCTTTCCTTTGCTCCTGCCATTAATAGTGCAACATCCAAGGACATTACACGTTTCGACTGCACGAAAGCAAGGCTAATGAAATGTGTTGCCAATTTAAGTCTAGATACCAAATTGGAGGAAAAAAAAAAAGAACATATAACTAGATAAAAATAAGCAGGATAATGTTCATTTAGCAAGAGACTAACCAACAGAAAATCAGGAACATCTTGTTGTGAAATTCTAGTTGCCAGTCCTTCGACAATGGCGGTTTTTCCAACCCCACTTTGGCCAAGAAGAATTGGGTTATTTTTAGTTCGGCGACAAAGTATCTGAATAAGTCTACGAACTTCATTTTCCCGGCCAATAACAGGATCAACAAGTCCTTCACTAGCACGAGCAGTCAAATCCACACAGAATTGTGCCAAAGCACTTTTCTCTGACAACAATAACGGTTAAATTTAATCCTATATGCGCGTGATTGAAAAAACCAAAACCAAAACTGAAATGAAAGTTTTTATTACCTTTTGTTTTTCCAGTTGATTTCATAAGAGCAGCTTTGTTGGAGAAAGCCTTTTCACTTGAACTCTGGGATATTCCTGATGATTCTCTTCCATCTTTGGCAAGCTCCACGAGAAGTTTGGCCACTGCTACAGCAGCCAATTGGTCTACTTTCGCCCCCAATCTGAATCACACAGCATTTTCTTCGACCGTCAGGGAAAATCCTAAATTGAATTACGTTTGAAAGAGGAGGAGAGAGAGAGAGAGAGAGAGATTTACCTCTGGAGGACGCGAGTGGCGCTGCCATCGTCCGCAGAGAAGAGACCGAGAGCGATGTGCTCTGGCGCAATGAAGTTATGGCCTCTCGCCCTCGAATACTCCACCGCCGCCTCCAGCACCCGCTTCGTACTGATCGAGAACGGCAATTGGACGGCAGAGGAGCCGGAAGGATCGGAATCCCCAACATCCTCAGCCGGAATCCGGCCGCTCCAGATGGCGCGAACGGCAAGACGCGCCTGGTCAACGGTGATTCCCGATCCGAGGAACTTCCCGTCGTCCTCGGCGATGAGGCCGAGGAGGAGGTGCTGAGTGAAAACGACGTCGCTGCCGAGAGCCCTGGCCTCTCTCTGGGAGAAGATCACGGCTTTGACCGCCCGCTCCGTGACCCGCTCGAAGACGGCCGAAACCGTCCGTCTCCGCCGCCGCCTCTTGTTGCTTGCAACGCAAGGAAAGGGGAAATGGGAGGAGGAGGATTCGGCAAGGGAGAGGAAAAAGGAAAGAGAAGAGAAGTGGTGATTCCGAATCCGATAAGAAGGCCGTTGAGGAACACGACGTTGGTGTTGGTGACGATGAAGAACAGAGCGAAATGAGATCAGCGACGAAGAAGAAGAAGAAGAGGAAGAAGATGGTGAGAGTTGCATTAGCAGAGACATTTTTGTTTTGTTTTTTTAAACAAAAAAAAAATTATGTTTTTGGTTGAAGAAGAGAAGAATAGTTGAAAGGGAAAAGGTCTTTTAGTTATTTTTTGCTTCTTGATCAGCTGGAATGGATAGTTACTTGGCTGCGGGAAAGAGAATTTGGGGGAAAAGGTCGAAAAGAGTAGTTGTTGGGGTGGACTTTTCTCTTCATTTCTTTCTCTCTTTCTTTCTTTCAGGCAACGGTACGAAGAAAGGAAGGAACAAAGTACCACGGAGGACGAAGAAAGGTATTATTAATATTCGCAGTATTTTTTGTTTTTTTTTTAAACTATTTGACTCCAAACTAAAGATTGGAAGATTTAAATTATGTGATTTAAATTATTTTTTATTTATATAAATTTTTTATGAGAGAAAATATTATAATAAATTATAAATTATTATTCGAATCAGGAAACGAATCCCTCTACCAAACATCCTACCATTTAAATTAAAGTAATTTTAATTTTAGAATTAAAATTAAAATAATTATTCATAATTTTGAGTTTAAATTATGAACTTAAAATTAAAACTAGAATTATGAATTTAAACCATTTAAAATTAAGAAGTAGATTATTTTAAAAATCAAAGATAGTTTTAATTTAAAACATCACATAAAAATTTAAATTTTAAATCAAAACTATTTAAATTAAATATTTAGTTTCTTGAATCAAATCATAACTACTTTTTATTTTTTATAAATAAACTCTAATTTAAACTAAAATTATAATTTCAATTCTAAAATAATCATGCTCGTTGTCCGATATAAATATATATATTATATATAAAATATATTTTTGAAAGTCCCTAATAAAAAATGTTCATTCGTACAATTAATATACGAAATTATTATGGAACTGATATCGAAAGTCATCTAAACTTGCTAAAAAAATTGATTAAATTATATTATAATCGACATAATTTGTATTTCAAGCAAAATTATGAACATACTGTCAGTTAGAACTACGCACTATTTTTTTTTCCTTATTTTTTTGGAAAAGAACTAAGTATTAATGAATCAACATTAATTGGCAACTTTGAAATTGTATAATTTATCGTCATATAACAATTAAAAGAGTATAAATTTAACGTAAATATAACTAACAAAAATTGTTTTTTACCTATTAAAGAGTCTTTTTAATTATATGATATAAGAGGTTACTTTATTCAACTCTCTAGCAAAAAAAAAAAAAAAAAAAAAAAAAAAAAAAAAAAAAAACAAAAATTGTCTTTTACCTATTAAAGAATGTTTTTATTATATAATGTGAGATTACTTTATTCAATCCTCGCAAACAGAGAGACAGAGCTTACTTCATTCAATACGACACGCCACTGAGTAGAGAATTTGGGAAATCCCAAAAATAAAACCAAAACATCTTTATTCAAGTTCTGTAGGATCGACAAAGACGGGCTTTTTCCTTGCCCTACACAGAAAATTGATGCACTTATCCCAATCAAAAATGGGATTCTTTTATTGATTTTATTCGGAGTTGTCAAGAGAACTTAAGTTATAATTTTATTTAAATTTTTATTTTTTTTATAAAATTTGAATTTGAATTTAAATTTATGATTAAATTTGAGTTTAAGTATTTCAATTCGAATTCATAAACTCAAACTCAAGTTAATAAATAATATTTTTTTATTATTAAAAATATCATAATTTTTTCGTTTTAATTCTGATTAAAATAATTTTTTATGCATTTACAATGAAAAGACGAATAAAACTCTACTCATATATCCTATTAAAATTTGTTATCACTATTGAATTTTTATTAAAATATTATCTAACTATAAATTTAAGTTTTAACCCATTCAAATACAAATTCAAAAAGATTCTCAATTCAAATCATAACTCAAATGTGCATATCCAAACACAAACTCAAGTTACAACTTCAACTCAAGTTATAACTCAAACTCAAATCAAGATTATCACTCAAGTCACCGTAACTCAAAAATGCAAAAGAATAATAGTTTCTTTTGTTTTTCTGTTGCATGTCGTCTCACTCTTCCGTATAACCATATTTTAGCCAACTAATCAGCTAGGAAGTTATACCTCTTTTTAAATTCCAAGAGTAAATAGAACGGCCAATTTTAAAGAACACAAACAACATTCAGCAAAAAAAAAAAAAAAAAAACCAAGGAAAAGGTGGCGTCAGGTGTCAACAAGAGAAAATCTGATTCTGTTTGACTGTGACAATTCATAATTGGCAGGAAAGAGAGATGGGGAAGGAGAAGTCGCAATTGGCGAAATATGTTTTCTAAAAGAGGAAAAATATGTCTTTAAAAAAAAAGAGAAAGAAAGAAAAAAAAACTGCAAATCTTCCGGAAGAGGAAAAAAAAATGTTGTAAATGATTGTAGGGACGTGACATTTACGATTCATTTGCAAAGGAAAAAGATGAAAGCCTATAAACTGCAAAACGTATTGAATCCACATGTGAAACTTTGCAAATGCAAACAGCTCTTACGGACGGCTAAAACGTCCATAATATTGGCCTTTATCTCAGCTTACCAAATAATAAAAAAATGGCCTTTAAGTCAGCAAAGCAAAGGCAAAGCACATAGAATTTTTCCGAAATCCAATATAAAAAGCCCCTAAAAATCTATGCCATTGAGTCCACTCATAAAGAGGATAATATCATCAAACTAAACTATATTTGACAGATTTACCTGGATTCCTGGAATAGCTTTTAAACGTAATGGCAATAAAAATCGAATGGCCCTCTTGATAGGTACTCATTGACCAAGATCGGAGCAGAAAAAACTTTTATAGCCATATTAGGCATTTCAGCTTCAGTTCTAGGACTTCCTACTTCAGGAATAATGTCCCAAGTTCCAACAGCTAGAAACAACAGAAATCCCGAACAGAAAGATATGAATGTTGAAACCTTCTTTTCTAGACTTCGAATGTCCTCATTCATTCATGTAAATTCTCTTCGGATTTTGATCGAGCAATACGAGAAATTATCCCCTTTATCTTCATTACACTTGCAAAAAAACACAGATAAGAAGGGAATGAGAAACGAGCAATCTCGGGATTATCCTACGCATCCTAAGAAGAAACCTTCCCATTTGCAGATTTAGTCCAAATTGAAATATCCAACAGGTCATTAAGGACACAGATTCAGTATCTCATTCCAAACATCAGGATGCTCCAACAGTCCTTTGAATGATATATGTGTTATGCTTCTCGCTTCCAAAAGAATATTAACCAGATTAGAAATCATATAACCAGACCAGATATCAAGCCAAATCTTGGTAGTGTTGTGTGCGAGCACAAAGAGGAAACATGGGCGGAAATTTCTTCTACAGAATGATTATGCAATAAAAATCTGTTCTGCAAGAGGCAAGAGTGGAAGAACAATATTTCCCAAGTAGTCTTTCCCCCCTCCTTCAAAGCTCTATTCGCAGAAGATGGCCACTTTAATCTATGCCTAGGAGATGAGTTTTCATAGACATGGTAACTAGCTTAGATCCTTGATGAATACATCCAATAAGAGGGCCCAGAGAAGAGAAGTCCTTGCTAATCGAGATGAGTTACTCGTCATTGTTCATTATGTTCCATGACACAGCTAGATGCCGCTCAAACAGATCCCTAATGACACAGACTTCTCCACCTCTAGAAAACTAGAGAATGTCATTACCATATGAAAGATAAGCAGGAACTCCCTCATTTATAGAACAGAAAACTTGTAAAGAGTTCTTCTGACTCAACTCTAAGACAAGTCAATTTGATTCCAGAGCACATTGGCATAAGTTTTCTCCTCTTCCTTCTCTTCTGCAACGAAACTAGTTTCCTCAGCTGATTCATCTTCATCTGAAACCTCTTCTACTTCAGAAAGATTTTCTGCCCCTCGTTCATTGATTGCAGCTAATGCCTCTCTCATAGCCCTTGCTGTCGCTGGCCTATCTGTTGGTCCATATTTTGGAGCAGGCACAACAAATGGCATAACTATACCATCCAAGTTAATGCTATTCTTACTGGCGTTACTCTTTGGTTCTGTTGGGGGAAAGATGAAAACAATCCCAAGTTCATAGTTGCAGACGTGAAGTCTGACACCCAAAGAAGAAGTGGGTCTCCCTTTTTCATCCACTTCTGCACCATATGGATTAGGAATTGGTCGTCCCCAGGCAGCTGCACTAAAATTATGTGACCCACAATAAACCCAACCAAAGGCAGATGCATCAGTCCTGGACTTAAAACGCCTTCGTGCCACCTACACGCAAATATCTCGAATCGCTAAATTCAACAAGCAGTAGGAGAAACCAACCAGAGTTATGGGACAGGAAGAAGTAGAACTATCTAGTACACAGAAAGAAAGTGTAAAGTTCAATTGTTCAAATTAAAAAGCAGCTCAAGTAAGCCATTTTCCCGAGCAAAAAAGAAGAGAAAGGAAAAATAAAGATGTAACAAATTTTCCATCCCCATGTCTGAAGTTTGTCATCTGATTTCCTCAAAGGCAACAGTTTTGTTGCTGTCTTGATAGAACACTTGGTCTGGAACTCAAGAAAGGAGAGAATGGGAGATTATAGCCAGCCAGTCTTTTTTTTTTTTTTTTTTTTTTTTTTTTTTTTATAAGGAGATGGCTTGTCTAATAAAAATCATCGTTTTTTTTTTTTGTATATTATAGTACAAGGAGATGGCTTGTCTAATAAAAATCATCGTAAAGTACGAAAATTAAGAAAAAAAATAAATCTATATGGAAAAGAATATGTTTTCTACATAATGCATAAAGGTACGAGTATATAAATATTCTTACCTTGATATGCATTGGATGCCCAACTCTATGGCTGGGATGAGGAATTGCATCATGAAGTATGTCTACAGTTCGCAGTCTTTCCCATGATCTCTGCATAGTAAATAGTCAGTGCTGAAAATCGAGAGATTAATTAATTATCCATGTGTCAGGTAATGCACTATTCAAATTTAATGGATGATTCATGTTATGGTCACTTTAACTAATGACACACACACACACGCACACACACATATATGTTTATATATCATGAGTCATGCCATGTGTTAAATGCTAGTACTACCATAAAATTCCTTGCCGCAGATACTAAACTTCCACCAATCATCATCACAAGATAGATCATGAAGAGTTACAGAGGTGCAAGGACAATAATACGGTGGTTTTAAATCTTCCTGTTATATCTTTTTGAGGCTAGGAGAATACAGTCTGAAAACAAAATTGACATATGGAGAGAGTGCAATCAATTATCTAACATCCCTCACTTCCACTACAATAAATTCCAAGTAGCAAGTGGGTCGTTTTGACCCATATTGACATATAAGAACATAAACAAAAGTTATGATCACTTCAAGCTGATGAGAACATAGTCAGGATACATACCTCAGAGAAGCAAAGTATACGTTTTGAAGGCAAGACTCCCTTACATGCATTTTGTACTCTGTTAATGGTTGGGAAGAGTATTCTAATGGATGGATTTTGTAATTCCTGACTAGCACTCCAGCAGCCCCACTTTCAAGAGCAGCAACAACATCAGACTCGATGAAAAATTACATCATATAGTTTCCAAGACTATATAGTATCAATAACAAATTAAATATTGTTTGATTACCTCTGGATCAGACTCTTCTGAGTCAAATTGCAATGATGTTTTTCCTACAGCGGCTGAAAAGGCAGCTAAAAATCTTGAATTGATTGACCCAATTGAGGACGCACCTTGAGAATGAAGCACAAGCGCCAGGTGAAAAAAATAAACAGATGAGGTTTCTTTTGTTCATTCACAAATGTGACTTTTGATCTTCTTATAGAAATATACAAACACTGTGCAGGCTATACTCACTGTAAATAAAATCAGACTCGAGGTGTTCGGGCCATTTATATCGAGTTAAAACCTATAGGAAAGAATGAAATCATTAAGGTACTGAAGAATGTTGTAAATAGAATCATAATAAACAAAATTAAGTGGTTTTAAAGAAGAAAAGGTGGGGACCTGAATGTCTAGAGAGAGATGCTCTCCCTTTTCTCTAGAATTCTAAGGTCCGAGTCTTATGGTTAGTAATCCTTAGATAGTCCGTAATGAGTTACAAGCATTGTGATCAAGATTTTAGGACCAAACATAAGGTCTTAATTTTACATATTATAGATTATGGGCTAAGTATCAAAATTACAGAGGGAAATCGAGTCGCCAGCTTCGAGGTTAGTCTTGACTTAGGTGGTGCTTTTTGGTTGATGGAAGTTGCGTCTCAGGCGGTGGTAGCAAAAAGGAATGTTAGAAACCCAGAAGTCTTAACTTCATTAACGAGATTGAAAATGGAAAATACAAGATAGAATGGGTGCTTTCGAGGACCCCTGACCTTCAAGGCAGTGCAAAGTACCTAAACACTTCTCACAATTCAGACATAAGCCCTCTCCAGCCACTAAACCCCCTATTTATACTACTATTAAGACAAATGTTTTGTAGCTTAAAATGTGAAAAGCTTCATTCTTCAACCAGATTACCATTACCTCCTGTAGTCGCCAGAGGCCTGTACACCTTTGAATTGCAGCCACCATAGAGCATAGTGCAACAACATGTTCTGGTTGCATCAGCTTTGTAATATCCTCAAAGTTTGGTCCCTGGACAAGTAATTGTTATTTATTTATCATCTGCCCCTTAAAAATCCTAAACAGGTCATTGATCCATTTTATGTAGCAAGTTGAGTATCTTTAAATATAAAACATGTCCACTAAATCCAAAAATACCATGCCTGAGACACATGTATTGACAGTGAAACTTTCTTGCTGCTTCCTCCTAAAGCTGCCGTGAGGGCTTGTTTCTGACAAACATAGGCAGAGAACCTGAAGAACCCAATATCCCACAGTGGAGAGATCCACTTTGCAACCTTTCTGGGAAGAAAACCAAGTTGAACGCAGTCTGGTGCAAGAGAGAATAAATTACTTCTCTAACAAACCAATATGAATATTGACAGGAGAGGAAAGAGAGAGAATAAATGTGCGACATACAAATTATTAAAAGAACAAGCCCAGTTAGTGGAAGATTTATAGTGGTACACAAATTAGCTAACTTACATAAATACCTAAAACGAATCTATTTAGAAAAAGATCTATAGAAGGCACTCAACCAAGGGGAAGCCAAATGGGACTTCAAAGAGAACCCACTAAAAAAAAGTGCTTAGAAATTCTTTTCACAATAAAGCAAGAATCTAAGTACATTTGGACTTTAACTACTCAAAACTTATAATTCTTTCCATTAGCATTGACTATAAAGGCACAATACCCAGTGCTAATACAATAGATCATTTCATGGCAAAAGCCCTTTCACCTTTGTCTAACCATGCTCTACTCAAAAGCATGTCTAACAGAGGTTCAATAACCAAGCAGTTAGAACTCACCTTCACCGGGGAACTCATTTGTGCTAGGGACAAGAATGCTCACAGCATTTTCATCCGCAGGAATACTCTTGTTTCTTTTTAGAACAACCTTCGAAAAACCATCTGCCTTTTCAAATGATTTTCCCAAGAAAGAAGCCAGTTTCTTAAGCTGTGCACCATTGGAATCTGCTGCTTTGTGAAAGAGGTAGCTTAGACCAACCACAGATGCTTCAACTGAACCAAGGAACTTGAGACCAGATGACAGTGACGCACCCTAATCACCAAGTCATGAGTGTTCAATTACACAATTAAAGATGCTGTTTCATCAAAACCCCATTTAACTAGAATTAAATTATTGTTGACAATATCTAGCAGGGGAAAGGCGCGATAAAATCCAAATAGGTAAACATGCTAATTGCGAATATTCAAGGGGCTGTTAAGGCAATATTCATCTTGCAGATATAATTTTCAGTTGAAGCAAGAAATACAGGGAAGTAGGTTTAACAACTGGAATAGAAGTGCTCACTTGTGAGAAGTGCATGGGTGGAAATATACTGGGAGCTCTGTAAGAATGAATTCCAGGTACCGAAGCAACTAAATCAGCCATTGCCCCTCCAAAGTCATACTTTGTCAACTCAAAAATCCAGTGAGCCTCGCTGGGTACATCAGTCAGAAGAGATGCCATAAAACCAGCCAGCTGAGAACAAAAATCAGACTTTGACTCTTGATTTACATCCCGAGCGTGAATTTGAGTAAAAAGAGACATCAAATCAGGAGAACTTCTGACAGGAAAATCTTGCCACCAGATGGTATTGGTCACAGCATTCCACTGAAGTCAAAGAAAAAATCAGCACTACCATCCAAACACATAAAGGATTGCGGGGGAAATCAGAGTTTAATTTAGCCAATCAAAAGCTTTCCGTCCAATTCTATGTGGTGTTCAAACAACATTGGAGCACATGGGAAAATGGTTATTATTGCTAAAAATAAAAATGGGACGCTTATATGAACGTGGAAAGTAAAAGTTGCACAAGCTCAGTTGCATCGAGTGTTCTATACCTGGTATTAACATGGCTTAGGAAATGGTTAGACAAATTGGGAATTAGAGTGACCCTATGGCGGTGATAAAAAAATAATAATAATAAAAAGAGGAAAAGAAAAGGATTAGATGAAGGATACTAGTTTTTAGAAGAGGATGACTTTTCATTTCTGCGCATTTATTATTGTGAAGCTCATTCATGACTGGTTTGAGGGAGAATAAAACAAAACACGGTAACGCTCAGTTCCTTGGTCCCTTTTTATTTGGTTAATATAGATTGTATAGGCTTACCTTACTATAGTTTTCTAGGTTTATCCTTTCATAATTAATGATATCCTCTAAATCTCTTCCAATTTGGAGGACTGATCATTCCAAATTAAAATTACTTGCGCATGTAATGCATTAAATAACCACTATATCTATATGTCTAGCCAGATAGGACCCGTCATAGTGTTAGTTAGGACTATATCTTGAAACCCAGCATCTGAAACATATTTGGCATTACGTCATATAGTATTACTATTTCCAAAATGTAGAAACAAAGACCTTAAAGTAATCACCTGTGATGGCACTAAATTTGCAGAAGTAACTATAACACGAAGGAAATCATCCCTCTGTAGAACAAACAATTTTGGATGATGACAACCAATGCCTCGTTTCTTCGAGTCTTTACCAAAAGCTATGTCTTCAGGAAATAGGGGATACCTAATGCAATAAATAGAAAGATTACACAAAAAATTTCTAAGGATGTGAGTCCAATCCAATGCCCATGTTATTTTGAGCTCAAATAAATGAAGTAATGGTCATAATGGACTACATGGAAATAATACTCACACGACCGTTAGGTTAGGAAAATCTGGGTAAGGAACAGAAGTTCTTTTCTCAGGGCTAGTATCCCAACATCTCCCAGTATTATGACAAGCAACTGTCACAGGCAGATGCCTGGGAATCTCACAGGATGACAAAAACCTACAAAACACAAACATTGTTATAAAAATAAAAGAAAATATATAGAAAGATAAAGTTTGCACTGTAAGAACAAAAAGAGAGATGCACAAACCAGATAGAAAGAAATGATCAAGTTATCATCTATTCCATTATCTGTCATATGGTTGTACAATTACAAGCTCTCAAAGGCCGTGTATGCCCACTAAGAATCATATAGGAGTAGGAAAAGCCCACCAAAGACCACGAGTTACAACAAAAAAAATATACATATATCTTGAGAGATTACAAAAATAATGGAGTGTCAAATGCTATCGGTATTCAAATTAGAGATTGTGGAATTGAAAAGGGAGTTTTGGGAATGTGATAAAACACAAATAAGTCCACTTCTTTATAACTGAAATATGTTGAAATTTGTATGGATTAAGTACAATTAAACATACACAAGAATTGCCACAAATATATAAAGGCAGATAGATTTTTGGTACATTACCACAAAATATCACTAGTAAAAGTTGCAATGAACATTTGCGAAATGCTTTCAACAGGATGAAGAAGCTCCTGCAAGGAAATGCTTTCAGTGCCATGACCTGAAGAACAATCGTCCTCCATAAATGCCAGGCGATTCAAGTAAAACTTCTTCCCAGGCGGACTTATGTTCATCTTCACAGCACCATCGGAAGAAGAATGGCGACAATCCACAGGCAATTTCTCTGGATCATCGTCCCTAATAGCAGTCTCAGAAGGTACCACGTCATGATTTTGTACATTCAAACTATCATTACGCAATATCTCCTTGTACTGATTAATCAAACGTCTTGCCCTAGAGATTAGGTCTTCGCATTTGGAATCAGAAAAGGAAAAGGCGATATCGTCGTCAACCTTGGAAGCGAAAACTCTCTTGAATCCCCGTCGGCTCGACACGGTTCCTTGCGATTGCGATTGCGATTGCGATTGCGATTGCGAATGCGAATCCGATAGTCCTCGCCGGCCAGTGCTGCGGGGAATCCTCTCCTCAAAGACGATTCTCCGGACGACAAACCCGACGCGACCACCGTGTCGGCTACAGTTCCGATTCGCGCAGACGAGCGATACCTCATCGCCAGCAGAAACCTCCACGGCACGGCCTCTCACGATCCGGACGCCATTGACGTAAACTCCGTTAAGAGAAGCCCTATCCCTAGGCTCCTGGAGATAGAGTTTGCGAAGGCGAGGGTGGAAGAGTATCTGGCAGTGGCGGCGGCCGACGCGGCGGTCAACGAAGAGGAAGTCGGAGCGGCGGCGGCTTCGGCCGATGGAGTAGCGGCGGCGGGGACGGAGACGGAGGGTGTCGGCCGGAGAGGCGGTCTTCGCTGAGAGAAGAGGGAGGCCGAGATGCTCCAACTCCACCACCGCAATGCTGCTAGGGTTTGTGGTTTCCATGTGGCGATCTCCGATTCTTCTTCTCTTGCTGTTTGGTTTGGAAAACGAAAATGATGATGATGATGATGACGACGAAGAAGAAGGATAATTATTGTCTGGTGAAGAGAAATCCGCCATTAACGATGGAGGAAGAACAATAAATTGACAGAAAAAAAATAAGGAATTAATCGATGAATATAAATTGACGATGAAAAATAAATGAAATAATGAATTCAGAGAGAATCAGGGTTGAGAATTGAAAGAAAAATAGGGATTGAAATAGCGGTAATTGGAATTTTAAACAAACCACTCAACTTCGGTTCCTTCCCGCGCAAACTTCATCCTCCTACGTTGATTTTTTTTATTTTTTTTCAGTGAGTTTGTCTCAACGACGCAGTCTTGTCAAATTAAATTAAAATTACATTAAATTAAAAAAATATATAAAATATATAATTATTTAATATAAATTTAACAGTTAAAAATAAAGAAATAATTCATTTTTTTACGCTGATAAGAAAAGCTCCCGTTTATTATGGTTATTTCTTTTTTTTTTTAGATTTTAGTTTTTATTTTTTTAATAAAATAATACAACTTAACACAGCACAATTTTTTTTGTAAAAAAAAACGTGTACGTGTCAATTTATGTGAGGATATATTGACCCACTCAATTACAAATTTACAATATTATTTTTAGGGGACAATTAACAAATTTACAATATTATATTTTATGGGACAATTAACGCATTTTGAAACAAAGTAAATCCATTGTTTATAAATACATGGAAGTATTACTTTCAAATGCCTCGTTTATTTCGCCGATTCGAGTTTTATTATAGTAAAAAGCTCTCAGAAACCATCACATTTAACTTTTTTGTTACAGTAAAAAGCTCTCACATAACATCACATCTCAACTCGAATTAAAAACTCGAATCAGCGAACTAAACGAGCCCTGTAATTTCAAAATGATTGTTTTAAAAAATGATTAAAATTATATGTATATATTCAAAAAATGGATTAAGAGTTATATTACTTTACAACAATTTTTATATTTTATTAGTTGAGTCACGAGTTATGTTCATAGATAATAATTGTGTAAGTTTGATCTCGTGTTAAAACATGTATCTTATTAGAAGATAAGTTCATTCATTAGAGCACAAGAGAAAAAAAAGTATTTTAAAAAATAATATCGAAATAGAATTAAACCAAGTAAAAAATTAAACTGCAAAAGAAATTCACAAAATAAAAAAATAAGAAAACAAAGCATGTACAAAATAATAATAATAATAAAAATAAAAAGGAAAAAAAGCAAATGGAGAGGGGTTGTCACATGACAATTTTAGGGGTGCAGAAAAAAACACTTGGCTGTTTTATATATTGTTAGATTGTTAGATATGTATAACTATAAATTTTGATATGATAGGAATTACACATAAAATAGGAAAAACGAGACAAATGTCATTTTAAAATGTATGGGTTTAGATTTTTATTTATTACTACTGATTAATACTCTTTTTAGTCGAATAAATGATAACTATATTAATCAAAATAGTATTAATGAATAATAAAGGATAAAAATCATATGCACTCCAAGGTAAGTTCATCAATTTTGTCTAAAAAAAGAGTAACTAAATAGGAACACATTTGAATAAAATTATTTTCACCGTTGCAAAAGAAAATTCTAAAAAGAAATAAAATCATTTTAATAATCTTATTTATACTGAAACTATCTCATCGTTATATTAGATTAAGTCCCGTTTGTTTCACTGGTTTAGTTCAGTTCAACTAAGTTCAAATAAAAAGCACAGTTTGAATTCATATTTGGTAAGCATGCATTTGAATGATATTCCTCATTTGAACTAAGTTAAACTGTGCAACTTAATCCCCATTTGTTTCACTGGTTTAACTCAGTTCAGCTCAGTTCGAATTTAAACTTGTGTTTAGTAAGCACGTAGCCGGAATTATATTTTTCGTTTGAACTGAGTTAAATTGTTAAACTTAGAATTTAGTTATTACCTTAAATTCAACCTTTAAACCCATTTTTTAACAGTAAAAAGATGTTCACTCTCTCTGCGTTTCACACCTACCAAACACTAATTCAAATTTTGTACCCTATTCATATTAAAATTTTAACTGCACATCTAAATGTCAATTCTAACTGCAATTTAAACTACATAGTTTAAATTTTTATGTTTGAACAAAAAAGGTCAAATCAATAAAAGTCGAACCAGCGAACTAAACGAGGGCTTAGAGTATAACTCTCCCTTTATGTTCAACTGTTCAAACTATTTTTAAACAGTAAAAATGTGCTCACTCAATATGCTTTTTACACCTATTAAAAACAAATTTGAATTTTATTCTTTTTTAAATTAAAATTTTAACTACACATATAAACACCAATTTGAATTGTAATTCAAACTACACTATTTAAGTTTTTATGTTTAAATAAAAAAGTTCAAACCAATAAACCAAACGGGTGCTAATTAGACGTTAGATTCAATTCAAATTTAAAAAAGGATTAATTACAAGAACTCTTTCTGAACTATACCCTTTGTAACACTTTGTCTCGTAATCTTTGAAACGTAACATGCATTCTCCTGAATAATAAAATGTTAACAAAAAAACCTAATTCCTTAGGTTTTTTTAAGAAAAATTGAAATGTAATTTGTTATTTTAATAATTTTATAGTTTAAAATTTAATTTAAATTTAAAACTAATTTAAATTTAAACTTTTAATTATAGTACATCTATTATTAGTTGAATGTAAGTTTAAAATTTTATAAATTTTTTTTGGTAATATAAAGAAAAATTATGAGGTTTTTTATTTAAATATTTAAATTAGTTTAAATTCAAATTAAATTTTAAACTATAATATTATCAAAAAAATTTTAAAATAATAAATTAAATGTCAAATTAAAAAAATATATATTACATTTTAAAGATTAACCGTGAAAATGGTACGGAGAACTTTCGTAATTAATTCCAAAAAATCTAAAACGTGCTTGGCTACAACTTGCGGAGAATAACATAAAAAAAATGGGCAGTAAGAGTAGTCAATTCTATGTCACTTCTCTTATTATTGGGAGATTTCTGGAGTTTCAATTGGAAAATCTGAGCAGGTAAGATCCATTTCTTCTTTGCAATTCCTTGACCATAACTGTATAACACTTTCAGATTTAGAGTTTGAAAGATTGATCATTTGGCTATGAAATTGTTCTCAGAATCCTGTGTTTCCTTTTTTTTTTCTCTCTTTTTTTTTTTTTTTGGATCTGAACTCCTACTTTTTCCAAGTCTTCTTTTCAGGAGACGAGAAACCAATGCTCAAACTAGAGAACTTAGATTGTCTAGTCTTTTGTTTTTGTTCTCTCATTCGTTAGCAAAAACCAATTGGTTTTTGTTTTGTGCTTTGTTTTTTTTTTTTTTTTCGATACATTGCTGAATATAGTTCATTCATTTGCTTCCTGGACTCTCTTCATTCATTTCCACAGTCAGGTGCTTCAATGGCAGGGATTACAACTTCCATTACTTATTATTTTGCGTCACTTTTGATATTATTGGGGTTTTTCTGGAGTTGTTGCAATTGGAAAACTGTTATTTCCCATCAAAAGGTACTAAACACTAATACCCATTTCCCTACCTTCTTCCTCTTCTTTGAATCAAAATTCAAACCTCTCAATTTCAAGCCCAACACACTAATATTATCTTTCTCGTTATATTTGTGTGACAAACAGGACTCAACATGTCCAGCCAAAATAGGAGGTTGCTCTTCTCTTGAAAGCGCATTTGAGTTATTTGATGCCACCTTCTTCAACCATACCAAGGTCAATATTTCATATATAGGAACACTAATTCTAATCCCAACTCTTTTATGCCAAATTTGAGTTATTATTCTTTTATTGGTAAGTGTTCAAAAGATTATTACATCACTTAATATTAAGTTAGGTATTAGAATCCCACATTGGCTGGAGATATTGGCATGATCCACTTAATAAGGTGAGGGCAATCCTCCCCTAATAAGCCGGTTTTTTTAGGTTGAGTTAGGCCCAATATCCTTTGATTTCTGTAAAATGGTATCAGAGCAGGCCCAGTTTTGCAATGTTGGGTCCCCCAATATCGACTTATTTGCAGCGGTTTGACATGGTCCACGCTGTGCGTGAGGGGGCGTATTAGAATCCCACATTGGCTGGAGATATTGGCATGATCCACTTAATAAGGTGAGGGCAATCCTCCCCTAATAAGCCGGTTTTGTTAGGTTGAGTTAGGCCCAATATCTTTTGAAGAAACTAATTCAGTTATAACTAATTCTATAGTCATTAAAATGGCAACTCATATTTATGCCATCAAAGTGGCGTAGTAAAAATTAGTAAAGATTTATCTTAAGTGACACAAATTTATACTTTGAGTGACACAAATATAAAGATAATAGAAAAAAATGGTAGTATATGAAATTTTATTTAAAAAAGATCAACACAAGATTGGTACAAAAGTTGGTATTAGAATTACTGTTCCCGCAATTACCACTATTTATAAATATAAATATATACACACACACACATACATATAGATGGTGGTTCAATTAATCATGGGCATTATTTAAGCTACTAATATGTGTCTGTTAGGATCCTGGTTGAGTCCCACATTGCTAAAGTATGGGCTTAGCATGTGGGTTTATAACCATTTGGGCACCCTCTCCCTACAAGCTAGCTTTTGGGGATGAGTTCTACCCAAGGTTATAACAATTGATATCAGAGCATGCTCCTCCTCAGGCCCACGTTGCGGAAGGGGCGACCTGGGGAGGGGCGACCTGGAAAGGCCAGAGTAGGCCATCCAGAGTGAGCCATCCAGAGTGGGCCGCCGTGGACGTCGGTGTCGGAAGCGTGGTGGTATGTTAAGATCCTGGTTGAGTCCCACATTGCTAAAGTATGGGCTTAGCATGTGGGTTTATAACTATTTGGGCACCCTCTCCCTACAAGCTAGCTTTTGGGGATGAGTTCTACCCAAAGTTATAACAGTGTCATTATAGATTATGGGTTTTGATTGCTTGATTTAGATGTTGGAGATTGCAAAAGGTGCAAAGGAGTTCAACATCCCCATAATAAGAGCAAACAGGGAACTAGTTGCTTCTGAGAATGGAGGCTTGCATTACCCGTCAGTTTTGGTATTTAATCCACAGTGGGACACTAAAACAGAAAAGTCAGCAAAACAAACTTTTGCAAAAAGATTCAAATATCCTTCTTCTTCGACCATAAAAAGGCCTCAAGATGATGAAGATATTGCTTTCATGACGGTAATTCTCATGTGTAAAATTAGTTTTGCCTCGTTTTAGATCTACATAATATCATGAACTTTTATTCTTTTTTCTCTTGATATTTGGTGATGCTTATGATAATCAGATTCCTGAATTAGGATATCTAATTAAGACAAAGCAAATTACATCTGTAGAGCTCACTAAAATTTTTCTTCGAAGATTGAAAAGGTAACACCACCTAAGCTACTCTTAAGTATGAAGTCATATACATAAATACACACAAACACACACATATATGTATATATGTGTGTATCAAATGTATTTGTTTCTATATATAATAGGGTGAAAATTAAACATCATCAGATACAATGTTGTACTTGAGGCTGTGGTGACTTATACTGAAGAATTAGCATACAAGCAAGCAGAAGAGGCTGACAATTTGCTTTCCAGAGGAGTGTATTTAGGTATTTATAGTTTCCTATGTAAACAAAACAGCTATTGATTGACGGAGAAAATTAAGGCCCCGTTTGGCTCCTATATCTGAACCCATGATTCTGATTCTACTATGGTGTTTTTCATCTCATAAAGAATTTCAATTCAAAAATTTCTTCTCTCACAAAGTTCGCGCCAATGAATCAGAATCAGTGACTTGAATGCATGAACCAAACGGACCCTAAAGTTCTAGTGCTAATTTATATGACTATGACTCATTTCACCTTACATGATTAGAGGAGTAAATGATAAGTATATGAGACACATTTTTTCAAATAATGATGTATATTATATAAGCTCTATGATTTAACTAATTTTAATTATAGGTCCTCTTCATGGGATTCCTTATGGCTTGAAGGACATAATCTCAGTACCCCAATACAAAACTACATGGGGTTCAACAACTTTTAAGAGTCAAATTCTTGATATTGAAGCTTGGGTCTACAAGCGGTTGAAGTCTGCAGGGGCAGTGCTTGTTGCCAAGCTTGTTACAGGATCATTGGCATATGATGACATATGGTTTGGAGGAAGAACTAGGAACCCTTGGAACATTGAGGAATTCTCCACGGGCTCGTCGGCTGGACCCGCCGCCTCCACCTCCGCGGGCATGGTTCCCTTCGCCATTGGATCAGAAACATCGGGCTCCATCTCCTTTCCTGCTGCTCGTTGTGGGGTCACCGCGTTGCGTCCTACATTTGGCACCATCGGTCGAACTGGCGTGATGAGCATATCTGAAAGCCTCGTATGTTAACTCAATTCACAATTTTGTTCATCATCTTGTGTTCATGATCATGTGGGGAATTTTAAGTAGAGTATGAAAAATAACATCTTTCATTAATATATTTTATTTATTTTTCTTTTTTAATAAACACCCACACACCAGCAAACATTCCACATGTTAAAAACTACCCATCACCCTGATGACAAATTATAACATGTCCTTCAGTCTTGAGATTAACATTAGTGACTGGAATTAATACTTGTTTTTTTTTTTGTTTTTTTGTACTTTTGTTTGGCACAATATGTAGGACAAACTAGGGCCTTTCTGTAGAAGTGCTTCAGATTGTGCAATAATTCTAGACAGCATTAGAGGAAAGGATCCAAATGATATGTCATCAAGGGACATTCCCTTTGAGGATCCATTTTTGGTTGACATCACAAAGCTTAGGGTGGGATATCTCGAGGATGCTGAAATGGAGGTTGTTCATGTGCTCGAGGCGAAAGGCGTCGAGATGGTTCCTTTCGAACTGAATTACACGGTTGATAGTGTCCAAGGCATCCTCAACTTCACAATGGATGTGGACATGTTGGCACACTTTGATCAGTGGCAGCGCTCCGGATACGATAACGAGTATGAAGCTCAAGATCAATGGCCTACCGAGCTTGGCCGCGCACGCCTGATTCCCGCGGTGGATTATGTTCAGGTAATTGGCTTCTTATGCTAATTTTCTTTGAGGCTAGACAAGGAGAAAAAAAAAAAAAAAAAAGTTGATTCCATCACATTTTAAGAAATTACAGGTGCGTTTGAAACTCGTTTCAAAATGATTTTATTTTTTATATGAAAAAGAAAATAAAAATGTTTTCAATCTCAGATGTAAATTATTTTTAAAAATGCGTTTGATAGTTTTATCAAGAGATTGTTTTCAGTATAAAAAAATTTATTAATGTCTCTCTCTGTGCTCAAGAGAGGAGAAAACGGAAACAAAAATTTGAAAAACGACTAAAAATCATTTTTCATTTTTCTCACATTTTACACTAAATCAAAAAATCGTTTTCATTTCCGTTTTTTGTCTTTAATTGTGCCAAACACCGTTTCTCTCCCGTTTTCATTTTTTATTTCTCAAAAAGCGTGAAAAACAAAAACAAAACTAACCCCAAACATGCATTTCCATAAAAAATAACAATATTGGTCATATTGTTATCTACAGGCACAAAGAGCTCGGGGGAGGTTAATTAGGGAAGTGGAACAAAGTTTTAATAATGTGGATGCATTCATAGGAAATGCAACTGATTGGGAGAAAGTTTGTATGGGAAATCTGGTTGGATTGCCCCTAATTGTCGTTCCAACAGGATTTAAAAATATCTCCAATTCCATATCCAGCTACAACAATATTCGAAGAAGGACTACAGTGGCCACCGGCATTTATGCTCCCCCTCAAAAGGATCACATTGTAAGCCTAACTAGTTTATGAAAATTTCCGTTTAATATATTTACCTTTTTTGCTTCTGACATAATTTTTATGTAATCTAACAGTTGAAACAACGTAATATAAGTGATATATATATATATTTTACCTTAGGGTAGGATTTTTATTCATAAATTGTATGAGAAAATACTATTGAAGTCATTCATTACATTTTTTTTTTATTTCTGAAAAAATTCATTCATTACTTGGATCAAAATGGTATATACTTGTTAAGTTGCAAATTTTGTGAATTTGGCTTTGCAGGCTCTAGCATTGGCAATCGCTTACCAATCAGTGACCAATCACCACAGCCAGCGTCCACCAATTGATGATCTTGGGCCACATGACAAGCTTCACATTCCAAAATCACCCTCACCACCCTAACAACAACAACAACACAACAACGTGTATATCATTGTTCGTTTGTTTTGTTAATTTGAATCATAACTCAAGTTTTTGTTATATTATTTTTTCTCATGAAAATTTAACTTATTGACACTTAAAATGTATCATAACATAAAATTTACTTATCTAACATTATTGTTGCACCTCTACAACATCAATATTCTTATAAAATTTTATTTTTACGTAAAACATAAAAGTGAGAAATATTAACATAACATTTTTTGAACGCAGTAGTAACATAGAGCGTATATAATGTCAATAATTTAGTTATTATTACACCTATTTACAACGTTAATATTTATGTTGTAATATTACACTCATTGCCTTTATATTACGTAGAAGTATGGTAGAGAGAGGATCGAGGATGGCATGTAAGCCCTAATATATGTTGTTAATACCAATAAACAAGATGGACCTTATCTAAAAAAGAAAAAAAGATGGATCTTTTGTGGAAGGACTCATCCTTATCGGTAGGAATTGTTATTTTAACCGTCAATTTAAGTTTTTAAAAGTTTGATATGTGAGTATTTACGTTGAAAGTTTATAACGAACAATATAAAACTGCTCCAATTACAAATCAAACTATTACAAATATAATTTAACAATTAAATAAAAAATTTCTACGATAGTTAAAAAAGACAAACCTTTTTATAGAAATTTCATTAATAAAAAATAAAGAGAAAAAAAAAGACTTTTTTGGTAGGACATCTCAGTCAGTAAAATCAGTTTTTGATCGTTAAACCTGATTAAAATCACATCAACTTAAAAAATTATGTATAACAAATAGTTTCTAATATTAACTCGACGGTTGAGATTAAGAAACTACTGGTAATTTATTTTTTCTCATTCTATCAAACTAGCTCTGAAAAGTGAAAAACAAAAAGCGTGTTTGGTATCAATTCCGTTTTCATTTTTCACATTTTTCGAGACAAAAAAGTGGAGATTAATGAGGAAAAAAGTGTAAAAAAAAAAACAAAAATGGTTTTCGATTTAGTGTAAAATGACTTAAAAACTGAAAATGAATTTAACTCGTTTTTCATTTTCAATTTTAGGTAGATACCTTTTTTTGGTAAATAAGTGTGGTTTAAATGAACTAACAAAGTGCTTTTAAATTAAAAATAAAAATTACATAACTAAATAAAGTTTTAATTTTTTGTTATATTAAAAATAATTTTTTAATAAAACTATCAAATACATTTTTAAAAATAATTTTTATTTGAGATCAAAAACATTTTCAATTCTAATTTCATAAAAAAAAATAAAATTATTTTAAAATCAAATTTAAACGCACTAAAAAGAAAAAGAAAAAACTTGGAGAGGAGTGCATGCAGAAGCACAGAGTGTCCTTAGTGGTTAAAACTGGGATTGACACGTGCTACTCCTACGTTGCAGTCACACTCACCAGCTTTCCTTTTTTCATCAAAAGGGTGATTCCTTTGCAGTTGCCTACACGCCATTGTTAAATAATCTCTTCTATGCATATATATATATATATATATATATTTATATAGGAAATGTCTTTAGTCTGATAGGTATAAAATGAGTGACTGATCTGTTCAGATAATTGTAACCGTTAGATTAGAATTAAACGGTGTAAATTTATTTCTTTGTTTCTCTAAAACCTCTCACTTTCTCAAATGTATGTATTATGTATAATTAATGTGGATTTTTAGATGTCATTTTCCTCCTTTGACATTGTTGTTCATGGGAATATTGGAAAGATACTTGATTTTGTCTTTATTGTATAATATAGCCAAAGTGAATATATATATATATATATTGGAAGAAAAAGGAAAAAAAAGAAAAAGTTGATTACTTAAAAAAGTTAAAATCTGATTCCCATACGCACTCTCTTATTCAGGTAATTAATTATAAAAAATTATGGAAAATTTTGTGGCGGAAAGTTAAAGCTCATTCCCATACTCTCATGTTCAGGTAAAATTTGCGTGGAAAGCCGGTGTGTAAATAAGACATCATTCATTTTATCGATTTAAATTTTAAATTTGAGTTTTGTTATACACATTTAATTTTTTTGTTACAGTGAAAAATTCTCATATAAAATTAAATTTCAACTCAAATTAAAAACTCGAATCAACAAACTAAATAGACCCTTATTTTTCTTTTTTTTTTTTTCAAATAAGATGCGTGTAAATTATTGCTAGTCCCTTGAGTTGAAGTTCTATTATATTAACTCTTTAACAATGACTTGCAATTTCTTTTTTTTTTTTTTTTCAGTGAGAGTAAGAGTGGATTTGGGAAAAACTTTGATAATGGATCTTTGCCTCTCAAGACTGCATTTGAGTTATTTGATGCCAACTTCTTCGATGATAAAAAGGTCACGACCTTAAAAAAAATTCCCCTTTTTATTTATTTTTTATTTTTATATGTTCTAAGAGTTAATCTCAGTTTTTAGTCTTTGCAACTATAAGCCAAATTATATTTTGGTTCTTAATTTTTAAAACGTTCTTAAGCGAGTACCTCGATCTATCAAATTGTCCCAAATTAGTCATTTTGTTCATTCTACTCTTAAAATTTGGACGGAAAAAGAGATGTGAGGATGATGTGTACTTTAGTCATGTGAGTTAATTTTGTAATTTACATGTTAGGGAATGACTATTAAGAAGTAATCCATGTTTTTTCTGTTGAGATTTTAACATGATGATATAAGGCCCGTTTAGTTCGCTGATTCGAGTTGAGATGCGACTTCATGTGAGCTTTTTACTGTAGCAAAAAAGTTAGATGTGACTATTTTTTAGAGTTTGTTTTACTGTAGTAAAACTCGAATCGGTGAAATGAATGGAGCCATAATCCATGGTAATTTTTTTGGTCCCTAACTGTAGCAGTCATTAGAGAGAGGGACCAAAATTGCTGAAGGTAATAATTTTAGGGAATGGACAAATATTTAAGGACTGCCAAAAAAAAAATTCAAGGACCAAATTGTCACAATGCAGTTCAGACAAACAACGACAAAATCCGATTTACAATATGGTACGTCTGTTTCAACCAATGTCTTTCGTTTGTATGTTTGAACTAATGATGACATACATCTCATTTTATTTGTCATTAGATGGTGGAGATTACTAAGGGTGTTAAAGAGCTCTTAGTTGCTTCTGTTAATGGAGGGCTACATTATCCATCTCCGTTGGTCTTTAATCCTGATTGGGGAAATGAACAAGAGATTGACAAAGGGAGGAAAATATTCAGCTATCCTTAAAAGTTTGTGTTTATATTAAAAAAGGAAAAAGAAAATAATAATCTTGGTACTAGTGAAATTTGATCAATCTTCTATCTTGCATTGTGAAATTTACAAAAACATTCTCCTTGCTCCAACAACTTTTATTTGACAATGTCATAGAATTGGAGAATTTTACTGAAAAGATACTTTAGTGGAATCTATATGTTTTGCATACTTATTTAATTTAATGTAATTTTAACTAAATAAAAAGTTCAGAAATATGTGCTACCGATAATGCACACCAAGTGTAGAAAGACTCATTAATTAGACAAGATTTCAAGGTTATCTTGACAAATCCCTTTCTTTACAAGCATTTTTTAACTTTATTTCAACACAATCCTCACGTCCAATTTTGACATAATCTAGTGACATTAAAGTTTTAACAAATCGATAATCTGATGAGTTATTTTGTAATTAATAAGGTTGAAATCACATTTCATTTATACTCAAAGGGAAGTTACATTGTTACTGTACGGTTTAGTCAAATAAGGCATTTGGTGATTTTCAGGTTCTTGAACTTGGGGAACTCCCCGTTCATTTCGCTTATTCGAGTTTTACTACAGTAAAAAACTCTCACAAACAATCACATCTAACTTTTTTACTACAGTAAAAAGTTCTCACATAAAATCACATCTTAACTCGAATCAGCGAACTAAACGGGTCATACAAAGCAAGTCACATCCGAGGAGCTCACTCAAATTTTTCTCAGAAGACTAAAAAGGTAATGACAGGCCCCAAAAGAGATGAATTTTTGTATGCTTGTTAGTAATATTCTAAGCTCGTTTGTTTATTATCATGTATATTGTGCACACAAAGGGCCTGTTTAATTTATTGATTTGAGTTTTTAAATCGAGTTAAGATATAATTTTATATGAGAGTTTTTTACTATAATAAAAAAGTTAGATGTGATTGTTTATGAGAGCTTTTTACTGTAGTAAAATTTAAATTTTAAACTCGAATTGATAAAATGAACGGGATTAAAAGGTATCCTCATGTTCTTGAGGCTGTTGTCTCTTTTACTGAAGAATTAGCATACAAGCAAGCAAACGAGGCTGATGAATTGCTTTCCCGAGGAGAGTATTTGGGTAGGGTACTTTTTTTATTTTCTAGTAATATTTTCAACATATTAAACTTTGTATTTTCCTTTTTTTTTATTAAATGAAGCTCATAACTCGGTTATCGGAGGGTAATCAGGTTGGGTGTCAATTTAGTTGACACATGTTTTTATAACAATTCTGTAATAAAGACATCAATAGGAAAAAGAGAAAATAAAAGGACAACAAAACATATAAGATATATCCACTTTCAGAATGCCACATTCTTTGGATGATTTGGCAAAATTTCATATCTTTGGTAGTCTCTGAGTGGCAAGAATGGTTGAATTTTCGGATTTTGTTTTTGTTCTTTTTTAGAATAGATAGATAGATAAAAAAAAGTGTAAAAAAATAAGAAGAAAAATGTTCTCTTTAATTTAATAATGCTCTATTCTTTTCTTTTTATTTTTTTTTTCTTTAGGTCCACTCCATGGGATTTCTTATGGATTAAAGGATATAATTTCGGTGCCCGAATACAAAACAACTTGGGGGTCAAAAACTTTTAAAGATCAAGTTCTTGACATTGAAGCTTGGGTTTACAAAAGGTACAAAAAAATAATTTGCACACTTCCTCGTTCACTTTGCGGATTTGAGTTTTCAATTCGAACTGAGATTTGATATTTTACGATAGCTTTTCACTGTAACAGAAAAAGTTAGATATAACATTTTATAAGAGCCTTTTATTATAGAAACCTAAAACTGAAAACTCAAATCGGTAAAATAAACGAGATTTTAGTTTCAAACTTATGGGTTATGACTTTGCTAATACATATAGGTTGAAGTCTTATGGGGTAGTTCTCGTTGCAAAACTTGTC